GATTGTGGTCGGGGAGGGAAGGTAACTGGGCTTTAAAGAGCAAACACGTTTCCTTGCTTAAAGTCTTATTCCCGTCATCTTGGTCTGTTTACCTCCACCCTCGAATCCCCTCCTTCTCCAGAAACAAAGCACAGGCTCTCAGACACACTGAGATTCTCTGGGCCAAACACTGCAGAACTACAATGGGACTCACACATAAATAGCTGAGGAGAGAACGGAGCCCTCTGGCTCACATGCTTTCCCTGTTAGCGTATTCCCTGTATCTATCGTCCCTGCATGTGAAATAACTCTGCCTGAGTTCACTGTTTCCCCAGAATTCTCTCCTTTGTAGATTCCTTTGCTAGGAAGCCATGTGGGCTAATGGATGGAGTAGAAGGCTGGCAGCCAGGAGACCTGGAGTCTAATCCCAACTTTGACACTTGCTGTGTAACCTTGGGCAAGTCACTTCACCCGTATGTGCCTCGGTTTCCCCATACATTAAATGGAGAGCATGATGCTTTCTATGAGATCTGTCAATGCAAGGAGCTAGAGAAGTGTCTGGATTTGATTTTTGAATCCCACACCAATTTGAACAACTTAAAGCCGCTCTTCAGCAAGTATAAATCAGCGTAGCTCCATTGCTCCGTGGGGCTACACTGATCCCCACCAGCTAAGGATCTGATCCATCATCTCTAACCATGTTACCAGTCCCTCTCTTCACTCTGCAAGCCTCTGTCAGGGCACCTCAAAGTCTTCTGTGGAGCTGAGAACATCCCATCAAGTGCCTCATAACAGGTCACCAAGACCTACCAGGTTCTGTCCCTGTATATGCTACTCCTCTCCAAGGCAAGCAGCCTCCCAGTCCTTGGAAGGGAAGCCTGATACTTTAGCATGCAATGAGCCACCAGCTGATCTCCGTTGTACACGCCCACTTCAATGGAGCTACTCTGGTTTTACATGGCTGGGGGTAAGACCAGGATCAGGCCCAGTAGGCTAGATGGAGGCTTGTGTGCACGGTGCATATTAGTTTGGGAAGCCCAGAGTCTCCACTCAGCAGTTGGGAAATGATCCTGCCTGTAACATGGGCATATGCCCAAATAATGCACATGACAGGACTCACTGAAGTCAATGGGAGATTTGCCTGAGTAGGAGGGAGAAAGAGTTCTTAACAGGCCCTCCTGGGGAAGGAGTTCCTGGGCGGGGGGGTCAAAGGGCAAGATTCTTCATAGCCCCATAACCGGTGTGATACCCTGATGAGAAACCCATTACTGTTAATGATGTGGGACTCCCAATGCGCCAAGGGGGGCAACTGGAAGACTCAAAGGAAGTGCCACGTCTTACCGGCGTGATGGGCGATGAGAGGGGCTCCATGGTGAGATAGTCAGAGACGAACTGGGCACAGCCATCCCAATTGTACAGCTCCGGGTAAGGCTGCAGGGTCGGGCGCACTGTGGTGCTCACAAATTTCTGCAGCAAGAGGGTGTCGGTTAGCAGATACGCGGTGGGGAAGCCATCAGAAGCGGCATGTAGAGCAGGTGACAGGGAGGGACTCCGGGGCCAGCTGGCCAGAGCTAGTGGCCAACTCCTCTCTCAAATGCAGCAAGTGTTTGATCAACCTTCTTGCTCTATTACTGACTCTTTCTGAGATGAAATACAGTGGGCAGAGAAGCCATCTCACTACGGCTTCTGAAATATGTCTCTGTCTGTCTCCCACCTTTGTCACTTCTTGGCTGGACTACAGCAAGGGGCTAGACCTGGCCATGAAGCCTTCAGCACTGAGGTAACTGCAACTAGGACAGAGCGCTGCAGCACCCGACCACAGGAGGACTGAGCACACCCAGCGCCCAGGGCAGTCAATGGGAGTTAGTTCAAGATGCCCATTGCAGGATTGGGCCCTTCCCCGCTACCTTCTAATCTCAGGGAAGCCTCACATCTATTGCTACACATCTGGCAGCTGTGGGGCATAGGAGGCTTGGATGTTTCCAGCTTCCACAGGTTGCGCCTGGCATGTTGTCAGTAAAAATTCTGAACACTGGATCTGCCCAAGCTGAGCTGCAGAACTGGATGCTAGCTCTGCAGCTCAGGCCTGTCCCCACAATGGGCCCAGACAGGACCCCATATTTCAACACCCAACATCTGGAGAGGTTAAGCCTAAGATCCAAATCTGGATCTAAACTTTGTGCCTCAGACCTCGCTCGAGTGCTGAGTAGATTGTGGGGTCTTCAGAGTTGATCTCTTAGACTCAGGTATTTCTTTTAATTTGAGTCACTTCTTTTTTCTGTTCCCCAAATGTACCGTATGCTGAGTGTACAGTCAGTGCGATGGGTATACAGGCGGTGTGTATAACTGCTGTGTCAAGTGTGCGGTTGGTATGGTGGAACTACAACTGGTAGGATCATAGAATCATAGAATCATAGAATATCAGGGTTGGAAGGGACCCCAGAAGGTCATCTAGTCCAACCCCCTGCTCGAAGCAGGACCAATTCCCAGTTAAATCATCCCAGCCAGGGCTTTGTCAAGCCTGACCTTAAAAACTTCTAAGGAAGGAGATTCTACCACCTCCCTAGGTAACGCATTCCAGTGTTTCACCACCCTCTTAGTGAAAACGTTTTTCCTAATATCCAATCTAAACCTCCCCCACTGCAACTTGAGACCATTACTCCTCGTTCTGTCATCTGCTACCATTGAGAACAGTCTAGAGCCATCCTCTTTGGAACCCCCTTTCAGGTAGTTGAAAGCAGCTATCAAATCCCCCCTCATTCTTCTCTTCTGCAGGCTAAACAATCCCAGCTCCTTCAGCCTCTCCTCATAACTCATGTGTTCTAGACCCCTAATCATTTTTGTTGCCCTTCGCTGGACTCTCTCCAATTTATCCACATCCTTCTTGAAGTGTGGGGCCCAAAACTGGACACAGTACTCCAGATGAGGCCTCACCAATGTCGAATAGAGGGGAACGATCACATCCCTCGATCTGCTCGCTATGCCCCTACTTATACATCCCAAAATGCCATTGGCCTTCCTGGCAACAAGGGCACACTGCTGACTCATATCCAGCCTCTCGTCCACTGTCACCCCTAGGTCCTTTTCCGCAGAACTGCTGCCTAGCCATTCGGTCCCTAGTCTGTCGCTGTGCATTGGATTCTTCCATCCTAAGTGCAGGACCCTGCACTTATCCTTATTGAACCTCATCAGATTTCTTTTGGCCCAATCCTCCAATTTGTCTAGGTCCTTCTGTATCCTATCCCTGCCCTCCAGCGTATCTACCACTCCTCCCAGTTTAGTATCATCCGCAAACCCTAACCCTAACCCTAACCCTAATGATGGATGGGTGTATAACTGGAGTGCTCGGTGCATACCTGGGCACTGAATGTACAATTGGTGGGTTTTCAGCACTGGTTGTGTCTATTGCAAGGGAGCACATGGGACTGGCCCTTGGACAATTCTACGGCTAAAATATGTTTGCAGTAAAAAATACATGCAAACGAATAAAAAGATAATCAACATAGAAAGAAAGAAAGAAAGAAAGAAAGAAAGAAAGAAAGAAAGAAAGAAAGATCTGACTGTGCAGAATTGCACATAGTCCATATCATATGCTATCAAAGGAAAGCAAACCCAGATTGTCCCCAGCTGTCTCCAGATGTTCCTTTACCTCCACTCCACACTCATTTAATGGGTGGAGAAAGAGTGGCTGGCGATCTGGGCAGAGATGCGCATACTGTCGATGGAAATTGTCAGCTAGTTGAAGCAGCATCTGCTCCTTGGCAGAATTCGTCTTGTAGGAGGCTGGTAACTGGGAGGTGTCAATGGAATTCCAGTCAAATTCACTTCATGCGGTAGGAGGAGACAAACAGAGACGGATAATGAAATAGTGAGATTCAAATGGGTTAATCCTGTCTGAAGAAACACTAGGGTCTCTCTTCTATTATTTCCCAGCAGAATTGGTGCAAATTAAATAACTTTGAAAGCGCACAATTCAAACCAGGAGGGCATGAAGCACGACTAAGCTGTTCCCAGTGATGGCAAGTGAGCTGCACAGCCCCGTGGGCCTGTAAGTATCTTCCTATGATATCTGTAAAGCTGATCCACATCATGAAAAATGCAAATTAGAGAGCCAGTTAGAGCGCGGCTTGTGCCATGAAGCCTGAGGGTTTAGCTCCCTTCCAAAACACCTGGTTTTTTTTAGTCCTTACTCTGATAACTCTGGAAATTCCCATTATCCATATAAATGTACTTTTTTTTTAAATCATGCTGAGCAATTGGCCTTGGTGCTGTCTTGTGGTATGGAGTTCCACAAACTAGCTGTGCATTGGTGAGAATAGATCTCATCTTAGCTGTTTCAGAAATGCAGTCTGTCATGTATTCTTGTCTATCTGTCTGCCTTTCTCTCTCTCACACACACACATTCCTACTTACGGTACAACATTTGGGATATGGACTTTGATCCTTGACAGCTTCTCTTCCAGGTCTTGGAGTTCATTACTAATCACAAGGACTTTCTTTTCTTCTTCCTCCTGTTCCCCATTCTCTCTCAGGACCTCCATCCTGCTCCCTCATGGGCTGCTGGGAGAGAAGCATCACATGGGTTATTTTAAAAGGGTAAGAAATGGCAAGAGAGAAACATTTTTATTGTCTGCCTACAGATTCAATTGGAATGAGGAAAGCAGAGTTGGCTGGGGGTGGGATTCCTTCTTAGGGCAAAATGTGGTTTAGGGCATGATTTTAATCCATATTGGGTCTGCTGACTACTATTAGTGTGAGATGTGGCTGGGGGAGTGGGGAAACAGAAGGGCTGCTGCTTCTTTGATGGATTAGAAACACAGGAACTGCAGAACTGACCCATGATCCATCTAGTCTGGTATCCCATCTCCAGCAATGGCCAGCAGTAAGCAGTTATGGAATCACCTGCCCTTAGGGGAATTTCTTCCTGACCTCCTTGAGTTAGAACTTGGTTGGTGCCATGAAGCATGAAGGTTTAGATCCCTTCCAAAACACCTAGTCATTTTAATCCTTACTACGACAACTCTGGAGGGTCCCACTATCCATATAAATGTCCACTCTTTTTTTTTTTTTGAATCCTGCTAAACAATTGGCCTTGGTGCTGTCTTGTAGCATGGAGTTCCACAAACTAGCTGTGCACTGGTAGAAAAGTATTTCCTCTCAGCCATTTCAGATGTGCTGTCCTTCAGTTGGATATGTCTGTGTTGAGGGCGCCGAGCGTGCTGTGGGGCGGGGTGTAAATAAATCTAAATAAATAGCAGAGCAGCAGAAGTATCTCCAAGGCCTGTTTTTTGTTTTGTTTTGTTTTTTAAGCTCACACTGATCCCAACATGTGTTTTGGGGCTTGGGGAGATAAGGCATGAAAATGGAGACGCAAGCACTCTCTCTATCTGGCGTTGTTTTGGTTGGCAGCGGGAATGGCATGTCGAACGAAGACAGCAGGAGGAGGAGATTTACTGAAATAAGACAGAAAGGCCCACAAGAGGAAGGAGTGATTTCATGTTGGACACTAGCTAGACCATTCACTGGAGCTCTCCCTGCCCTGGGCTTTGGACTACATTCAGCCAGCCAGCCAGAGGGGAGTATCCAGCCCGAGCAAACCAACTCGTCCCATCACGTCCTGCTGAGAACCGCATGGCTGTATGTCTCTGGTTACTTACTAAGATTTGTCAAACTCTCCCGCTGTGTGTGAAACTCTCCTTTTCCCCCTGTTCCCCACCCTGCCCCAGCTTTCCTCTTCGTATGTTTATTGATTAGTTGCACTGATGCAGCACCGAAGGGCCTCTGTCGGGGATTAGGACCTTATTGTGCAAGGCGCTGCACCAGGGGTTAAACACAGAACTTAGTGGAGAGCACAGGGCTCCCCTCCTCTCCCTGGTGTGGCTAAGGTGGGCTCCCCACAGCTCCCGCTCCTCTTCCCATCTCCTTTAATCACTGCCCAGTACAAATGTTTAACATTGTTTCTTCTCCTTTTAAAGCCTGGCTGCGTGAGGTCTTCTGCAGCGGGGGAAGAAAGGAGCCCAACCTCCCACTCATCAGGAGCAACCCCAGTCTGACCCCTTTCCATTTCCCAAATGCTCCTGCAGTGCCCAGCCTCCAGCCCCTCCCTTCTTCACGTCCCCCCTCCAGTCCACCCCTCCCTCCCCTGGCGGCACAGTCCGAAAAATGGCCTGGTTTTCTGTTCTCAAAACGCGCTCCCCCCAAGACACATGTGGTCTGGGTGGGAGCAGCCCCCGGTCACCTCATCGGGCCCCACGCAGACCCCGGCTCTGCCGAGGGCAATGCAACACAAGTGCTGGGCTTTTCTGGTTTTGCTTCCCTCCGATGGACAGATCCCCCAACCCAAAATTCAGCCCTCCCAAGTCTAACAGCTCCACTGGAGCCTCACGCCAGGCAGGAGTTTGTCCCAGTGTGTCAGCATCCTCCTCCTTTTGCTTTCCCAAAGCTCCCGGGTCCTCTCCTCCCCTGCCTTCGACTGATTCCCTGCCCCTTGGTCTGGGCCCTGCTTTTCCATGCCCTGCCTGGCCCGCGCCCTCAGGTGTTTCCTTACTCCCGGGCATGCCCCTGCTCCCGTCACTGGGACGCCCCTTCCCCGGGTGTCCCCTGCGCTGCCCCATAGTGCATCCCCCCCCTTCCCCAGCCCTGGGTCTGCCCTTGCCTGCACTCAGACATATACGTCCTCGCTCACACAGGCGCACAGCTGCTCTCCATCCCTCAGTGCCCCCGGGTGTAACTGCGGAGCAACGGCCGCTGAGAGAACCCCAGTGCCTCGCAGCCCCCACCCACGCACCCACCCCTCTGCAACCAGGAGCCTCACCAGCTTCTCCTGCGCTCTCCCAGCCCTGTTGGGCTCCCTCGCCATGGCAACCGCCTCCCGCAGCCTGAGGCTTCTGGGAGCTGTAGTTTCTTGGGCAGAGAATAAAGGCTGGGACTGGCAACTTAAGCACGACCAGTTTCAGAGTAGCAGCCGTGTTAGTCTGTATCCGCAAAAAGAAAAGGAGGACTTGTGGCACCATAGACTAACTCTCCTGCTGGTAATAGCTCATCTTACCCGATCACTCTGCTTACAGTGTGTATGGTAACACCCATTGTTTCATGTTCTCTGTGTATATAAAATCCCCCCACTGTATTTTCATGCATCCGATGAAGTGAGCTGTAGCTCACGAAAGCTTATGCTCTAATAAATGTGTTAGTCTCTAAGGTGCCACAAGTCCTCCTGTTCTTTAAGCACGACCAGTTTCCTTTCTGTGTAACTTGTGGAGGTTTTGAAAATGGAAAGCTCTTTTAAAATCTAGGCGCACATTTTCAAAGGTCCGGCCAATTTGCACTGACTGAGGCTGTGCTAAACCCAGCCTTTGAAAATTAGGGCCCTAATGTTTTCTTTTCTGTTACGGATGCATTTGTTCACCTTTTGCATTTCACTTGGATTGAGAAATTAGTCCAGTCAATTTCACCCTTTGCCTCTAGTCAGTTTTACTGTTAGGATTCCTTCCTGCACCGGCAACATCCTGCAGTATTTGGATTTGGGTTTCAAGCCAAACTAACATCTGTTTGCCCTGATATTTTAATATGAATAAATCAAATTTATTGGAGAGGGTTCAGAGACAAGCCATGATAATGATTAAAGGAATAGAAAAGGAGTACTTGTGGCACCTTAGAGACTAACCAATTTATTTGAGCATAAGCTTTCGTGAGCTACAGCTCACTTCATCGGATGCATACTGTGGAAACTACAGAAGACATTATATACACGGAGACCATGAAACAATACCTCCTCCCACCCCACTCTCCTGCTGGTAATAGCTTATCCAAAGTGATCACTCTCCTTACAATGTGTATGATGATCAAGGTGGGCCATTTCCAGCACAAATCCAGGTTTTCTCACCCCCCCCCCAAAACACACACACACAAACTCACTCTCTTGTGTGTGTGTGTTTTGGGTGGGGGGGTGAGAAAACCTGGATTTGTGCTGGAAATGGCCCACCTTGATTTTCATACACATTGTAAGGAGAGTGATCGCTTTGGATAAGCTATTACCAGCAGGAGAGTGAGTTTGTGTGTGTGGTTTTTGGAAAAAAAAAAGGGGGGGGGGTGAGAAAACCTGGATTTGTGCTGGAAATGGCCCAACTTGATCATCATACACATTGTAAGGAGAGTGATCACTTTAGATAAGCTATTACCAGCAGGAGAGTGGGGTGGGAGGAGGTATTGTTTCATGGTCTCTGTGTATATAATGTCTTCTGCAGTTTCCACAGTATGCATCCGATGAAGTGAGCTGTAGCTCATGAAAGCTTATGCTCAAATAAATTGGTTAGTCTCTAAGGTGCCACAAGTACTCCTTTTCTTTTTGCGAATACAGACTAACACGGCTGTTACTCTGAAACCACCCATTTTTTAACAGTGAGAGTAATTAACCATTGGAGCAATTTACCAAAGTTTGTGGTGGATTCTCCATCACTGACTATTTTTAAATCAGGACTGGATGTTTTTCTAAAAGCTCTGCTCTAGGAATTATTTGGGGGAAGTTCTCTGGCCTGTGCTATACAGGAGGTCAGACTAGATGGTCACAGTGGTCCCTTCCGGCCTTGGAATCTATGGCTCTATGAAAATGTATGAAAAACATTTCTGTTAATATTAACGTGGCAAAAACTTGGATTCTTTTTTGCAAAATGTAAGGCCCCCAACTCTAGCAAATGCTTATGCAGATTCTTAACTTTACTCATGGGAGCAGTCCTGTTGAAGTCAGTGTGATATCTCACATGCTTAAAGTTAAAGATGAGGGTGTTTGCCCTGCAGGACAAGGGTCTTGGTCCTTTAACTCTGGCTGTAGAGTTTCATGCTTTTAGCTACTGGAGCTCAGTGTTCAGTTCCTTACAGTGCCCAAGGTGATGGCAGTTACACACAGGATCCCTGAGTGCAAAAACCATGAGACTGGCTAAAAAAAAAAAAAAAATTGCGTTTTTTATAGTAATACATGTTGGGCTTTTTTTCTTTGCTTTCTGTTTTCTGAACCTTTAAGGTTCACTCACGTCAGGTGTTCAAGCTTTTCATCACACCCACGAGGCCTAGAACGACAATGGAAGCTGTGTGTAGCTGGCATGTACGTGCACAGGTAGTCAATATGGTTTGCAATCCAACTGTGTCTGTGTGGGGTCTTCATAGTCTTATTGTTCTGTAAAGAGCAGCCACATCAGAAAGTAACTCGTCTGACTAAAAAGGATGTGTGCGAGGGAGGGGAGGGAGAAATGCAAAAAATCTTCTCTTCATTAGTGAGCCACCAGAGCCACGAGTTGTGTCAGTGCTTATGACGAGCAGCCTAATAGGAAGGTTGGTGTTTCATGAGTCCTTTCCACCGCTGCAGCAATCACAGGATGCTAAATTGGCACTGATACAATCACTGGGGAAGTGTGAGGGGTGGGGGAGAATCAGCTGTTGAAAGATGATATAAAGAGCACAGCAAGGCAAAGGGAAATGAGGACAGCTGTGGGTGGGTGGGTGAGTGAGCAAGGTTACGCAGGTCTGGCAATGGTGAGTAGAGAAAAGCTCATGAAATCTCAACTTTAAACAGGGACGGCAGGGTTCTGTTTGTGATTGCTGAAGTTGTGGATTTCTCTTCCTAGATTGTAACTTGCAAGAGCGCAGGGCTGTCTTTCTCTTATCTCCTGAAAGCAATTGCTAGGGCTTCTGAAATGTCTTTATTGTGTAGCCATGTTCTCCCTTCAGATAAAGGGTCCTGATTCCTCAGTCTCCTGCTCCTTGTCAAGTCCATTAACTTTAAGGCAAAGTGAGTGCAAAATGCTATCACACCAGCATCGTAGCATTTGATACCTACTTTGCTGAGGTATAAATGGCTACACAAGGTGCAAGGCAGTGGGGGAATCAGCTCCAAGAAGTGCAGCTGTTTACTGCTAGCTCTTTTAGCCTCTCCAGAGGTTGGCCTGCCTCAGTGCTGTAGGAGTCATGTACTAACAACAGTGTTTCTAGACAGTATGCTATCCATAGATCTCCTAGCGCTCTAGTAATCATTCCCCATTTCCCGGATGGGGAAAACGAGGCACAGAAGTCAAGTGACTTGTCGAAAGTCTCCTCCTAAGTCAGTGGCAGAGATAACGGTAGAACCTACTTCTCCAGATTTTTAGCCTTGTGCCGTCATTAACAACACGAGGGCAAAACAGGTGTAAAATGCTCCCGAGTCAGGATGGGGACTACATATACCTGCATTGTCCCTGGTGTTAATGACTGCCCAAAGGGCAGGGCAATGGAATCCGACTGGAGCCCTATCCACTAGCCCACACTGCCTCCTAGCAAGCTTGCCAATGAGATGGCTCCTTCTGTGCCAAACTGTTACAATAGACAGTTGGGAGTGTAAGATCTGTGGAGCGGAAGGCGGCCTTGACTCCTTGTCCTTTATCTGTTTGTTTGTGATGTAAATGCACATTCCCTTCAAAGCCACACTCTTACTCTAGCTGTGTAAAGTATCCGTGGGAAGATGCTGTTCCTCTTGTAATTGACCACTTTATTTATAACTCCTCTGAAGTGGAAAGTGAACTTCCTGAAGAGGAACAACTCTTTCCTTTCTCTTCTGTTTGCACAGGTGCCTCTACTGTGTGATTTCAGTGCAAGTGCTTAGCTGTTACTACTGGCCTGTAGTCACTTGTCTGCTTTTATTTTTGTCTGCATATCCTCTAAGTTGGGGACTCTGATACCACAAGCCCAGTGAAGTAGCCCTATTGGCTAAGACGCTTTCATGCAGGACAAAATCCTGCCCTGCATGTTGTAGGATGGCTGATGAGTAAGTTTTTGCTGCTCAGACCCTTCAGATCTTTGGTGATTGGCAAAATAACAATAGAAGACACATCTGGGAACAGAGGAGACCAGGAGATCCCAAATTAGAGTTAGTAGCACTGATGGTCAGGATAACAGACTCCTTCAAAAACCCAGGAAAGCAATGCTTGCTGCGAAAAGAGAAGTATTCTGAGTGGGTGAACCTCAAAGTCCATATTGTCCCTGCCTTCTAGATAGGTTAAACATCTCAGCACATTCTGCTGCTATCAGAAGACTTTTAAATGGCTGTATGTGTTTCCAAAGGCTACTGATGAGCATGTTAGAAATCAAAATAAGCTGGAGTCCGTTTGCTTTTCAGGAAGTGACTGTGATGTGCCTACTGCTGCTCTCGGCTCTCTGGCTGCCTGGCGGTGAGAGCTACAATAGTGAGTCTCTCTATTTACTGGCCTGTGGGATGAGGATTAATAGTGAAAACAAGAAGGGTGAAATCCTGATCTGTATCTGAGGATGTGCTCAAGCTACTTATCCAGAGTAGGATTAGCACTGGTCACTTTTCCCAATAGCAGAACGAATTTGGGCGGCTGAGGGGGGTGGGTGGAAGAACACCAAAAAAAAAAAAAAAAAAAAAAACCTGGCAAAGGATGCTAAAGCTTTGGGGCCAGAAGTGGGATCTTTCTGCCTTCTTGTCAGCAGGAAGCTTTTTACCTGCCAGGCCAGAGATGAAGGTTCTGCATCTCCTGTAACAGTTGAGAGCAGCCACTCCCCACACTGAGATTTGGATGCTAATGACCTCAGTTCTAACAAGGGGAAGTACAGACCCTTGAACATTCCCTCTTGGTAGGCACTGAAGAGGCATTGTCTTTCAGATGTAGTGTCCCAAGGCAGTTCAGCCATTAATGTAAAGCTTCTCTCGGGAACTAAGCAGTGACTTTAAATAAGAGCAACTTGTCCTGTGGTTAAACAAGGGTTCCCCTCATGGCTGAGCAGAGCATGGACTCAGATTTAGTGACAGGCTAACTTTAGAATCATAGAATCTCAGGGTTGGAAGGGACCTCAGGAGGTCATCTAGTCCAACCCCCTGCTCAAAGCAGGACCAATCCCCAACTAAATCATCCCAGACAGGGCTTTGTCAATCCTGACCTTAAAAACTTCTAAGGAAGGAGATTCCACCACCTCCCTAGGTAACGCATTCCAGTGTTTCACCACCCACCTAGTGAAAAAGTTTTTCCTAATATCCAACCTAAACCTCCCCCACTGCAACTTGAGACCATTACTCCTTGTTCTGTCATCTGCTACCACTGAGAACAGTCTAGATCCATCCTCTTTGGAACCCCCTTTCAGGTAGTTGAAAGCTGCTATCAAATTCCCCCTCATTCTTCTCTTCCGCAGACTAAACAATCCCAGTTCCCTCAGCGTCTCCTCATAAGTTGTGTGTTCCAGTCCCCTAATAATTTTTGTTGCCCTCCACTGGACGTTTTTCAATTTTTTCACATCCTTCTTGAGGCGTGGGGCCCAAAACTGGACACAATACTCCAGAGGAGGCCTCACCAGTGTCGAATAGAGGGGAACGATCACGTCCCTCGATCTGCTGGCAATGACCCCACTTATACAGCCCAAAAGAACATTGGCCTTCTTGGCAACAAGGGCACACTGCTGACTCATATCCAGCTTCTCGTCCACTGTCACCCCTAGGTCCTTTTCTGCAGAACAGCTGCCGAGCCATTCGGTCCCTAGTCTGAAGCGGTGCATGGGATTCTTCCGTCCTAAGTGCAGGACTCTGCACTTGTCCTTGTTGAACCTCATCAGATTTCTTTTGGCCCAATCCTCTAATTTCTCTAGGGCCCTCTGAATCCTATCCCTACCCTCCAGCATATCTACCTCTCCTCCCAGTTTAGTGTCATCTGCAAACTTGCTGAGAGTGCAATCCACACCATCCTCCAGATCATTTATGAAGATATTGAACAAAACTGGCCCGAGGACCGACCCTTGGGGCACTCTGCTTGATACTGGCTGCCAACTAGACATGGAGCCATTGATCACTACCCGTTGAGCCCAACAATCTAGCCAACTTTCTATCCACCTTAGTTCATTCATCCAGCCCATACTTCTTTAACTTGCTGGCAAGAATACTGTGGGAGACCATGTCAAAAGCTTTGTTAAAGTCAAGGAACAACACGTCCACTGCTTTCCCCTCATCCACAGAGCCAGTTATCTCATCATAGAAGGCAATTAGATTAGTCAGGCATGACTTGCCCTTGGTGAATCCATGCTGACTGTTCCTGGTCACTTTCCTCTCCTCTAAGTGCTTCAGAATTGATTCCTTGAAGACCTGCTCCATGATTTTTCCAGGGACTGAAGTGAGGCTGACTGGCCTGTAGTTCCCAGGATCCTCCTTCTTCCCTTTTTTAAAGATGGGCACTACATTAGCCTTTTTCCAGCCAACCGGGACCTCCCCCGATCGCCATGAGTTTTCAAAGATAATGGCCAATGGCTCTGCAATCACATCCGCCAACTCCTTTAGCACTCTTGGATGCAGCGCATCCGGCCCCATGGACTTGTGCTCGTCCAGCTTTTCTAAATAGTCCCGAACCACTTCCTTCTCCACAGAGAGCTGGTCACCTCCTCCCCATGCTGTGCTGCCCAGGGCAGCAGTCTGGGAGCTGACCTTGTTCGTGAAGACAGAGGCAAAAGAAGCACTGAGTACATTAGGCAGCTTGCCTTTAGCTTACTCCACTATAGCCAGTTATTCACGATGCACTTAAACATTCACACGTCCCTCTGCTGTAGCTGATCTGAAGAAGCCCCGTCGCCGAATGGAAGAGGCTGCCCTCCGTCCCAAGAGAAGCCCGAGATTCTGCTTTCCGAACCCATGTAAGCACCAGGGAGTCTGCCGGGTAGTTGAGGAGAAGCCAAACTGTACCTGCAAGGCTGGTTTCACTGGGACATTCTGCCAAGGTAGGACTGGGGCAATGCTGGGCATGGGTGGGGTGCGCGGGTCAAGTCTAGCAGTAGTGAGCGCTACTCAAGCCACTCGGACAAGTATGAGGGGGGGACTTTCCCTTTTGCACTCTGGTGAGCGCCTTTCTAAGCTGATATGAGGAAAAGATTTGCTGAACTAGGAACCATTTCATGGGAATGGCGTGGGAGTCCGCTGATTTCTCGTGCAAAAAGGTGCAGGCCTGTGATGTGACTTGTGTGTACGCTTGCACAATGAGTGGGGTGGGTGGACACCTTCCTTTTCAGGGGAGCAGTGGGTGTCTGGACATGGGGAGGGAGGGTGGGGTCTCTAACCCTTCCCACGCTACCCTGCTCTGTGGATCAGAGATGGCCCAGCACTTGCAAGGGGTGCATGGATCTGCTCTGGTTGTAGAGATAAAACCCCTATCAGTCAAGCTAGGATGGCTCCTGCTGGTTATGGCCCAGTCCAAGGCTTTCTCGGTGAACAAAACTGGGCAAACTGAGAGGATTTGCTTGGTTGCTCTCTGTTGGAAATTACTCTCTGGAGTCACTTCAGTTGTGATGAGACTTGTGAATGGTGACAGTCACAGAGGAGATCTGGCCTTAAGAAATGTGAAGCCCTGCACTTAAGGAAAGGAAACTACTGTCCCTCCTCTCCTCCCTTCTTGTAACTAAGCAGCTCCAGCCTATAGCACTGCATTAGAGTTAATTTTCCTTTCATCTCACACCCGTCCTCATGTTTCATGCAATGGACACTTCTGCTGTGGGATGGGGAGACTGCAATGCCTCTGAGACTATCTCTGTAATTCCAGGGGCCTTGCAATAGGAGGAAGCACAAGAACCACTGTCTAGTAGCATCCCATAGCTTTCCTTGGTCACTAATGGACTCTGGCATAGCAAAGTCAAGTGTCCCTTGAGGAAAGTGAGCAAAAAATCTTGCTTTAGACTAAGGTCTGAAGCAGAAGCACTTCAGCCTCATCTGGCTTCCCAGGGTGATAGTGCTGTAGGGTAATGACTGCACAGACATCGGTCACGGGGATTAAATGTAGCACCTCTGGATCTAAAAGTGGGAGCCCTCTGCTGTCCTGAGTTAAAAGGCCACGTCCCTCAGCTTGGAGGCTGAGCAGTAGACTTGGAAATATCTTGGTGTCTAACCACTAGAGAGAGACAAGCTCCCACTGGATTCATGTGGGTTCTCAATCTCTTCCACCCAGCATCCTTTGCAGGGCTCTGAAAATCATTCTTGGCCAGCAGTGAAGTGAGGGACACTCTCAGTATACCGGTGCTGGGTCACACCATAGCTCACATAGGGCTCCTTCAGGCCTCTTCCTTATGGCTATTGCAGATCGCTTTTTCCCCAGATGTGGTGCTGAAACTGCAGTGTGAGGAAGATCACATGAAGATGATGGTGAGAAAGGAAGCGTTCGAAGTGTTGAAAATCCCCTTGGCACGGGTCCACTTGAAGAATGGTGCTTGCAAGGTCTCCGAAAAGGAGGAAGATGGAGCAATCTTCTTTGCAGCCAGTCTCACTGGCGAGAACCATACCCTGTGTGGGTCAGTGATTCAGGTAAGGTGGGGTGTATCTGATTAGATCTTGGGAGGGGAAGCCATTCTGAGACAAGACACAGTGGTGAAGGGGTTCTAGGTATTTCTGCTCTTCCTGTTTTATCTCTGCCTTGTAGCATTAGTACCCAAGTCCTAGCTCTAAACGGAAGTCTTCTCAGGAGAACTGGTAAGGTGGCTAATGTACACCATTTAACATAGTCAATGATTCTTTCTGGACCTCCACTGAGTTGTTGATTGCGGTTTGAGGGGGCAGTGCTTGGCTACTTCAGCAGAGTATGGGAGTCCTGAGTTTCTATTTCCCAGCTGAGAGTAACTGTCTTTCCAGCAGCTATTGTATGTATTAAGATGGAATAAATGGGCTAACACAGTTAACATAACCCAGTCACAATCCAACAGTCAATAGTATCAACTGAGGTCCGGGAATTGATATGCAGAGTCCTCCGCCTGCTTAGCATCATGGCAAACACGCTATAAAATTAATGTCACATTATTAAATTAATTAATGTCGCATTATTAAAGAGACTTTTATTGGACCAAAATCTGTTGGTGAGAGTGACAAGCTTTCAAGTTTATACAGAGATTTTCTTCGGACCTGCATAGGTCAAAAGTTTCTCTCACCAAGAGAAGTTCTTCCAATAGAAGGTATTACCACACCCACCTTGTGTCTCTAATATCCTGAGACCAACAGGGCTGCAACAGCACTGCAAATGCCAAAGATTAGAACTTTTTACTGATTGAAATATACAAGAGGAAAAGAATCAAAACCAGTTAAAGAGCATCAAAATGGAAATTGTCTTGCACAAAGTCCCTTTTTGGAGACTGAATATGGCTTAAAGCCTCTTATTGAGCCGAACAGTCCTTGGTGGGGAAGAAAGAGTTAATTCTATTCAATTCTGAATCGGGCATGATAGCCCCTTTCCTGCTTTAGACCAGACTAAAACCACCCCCCTCCCCGCACCCTCATAATTTTGTCCACCAATTAGGTCTAATTTCCAACACACCAACTTTGGTTAATTTCCAGTCCTCTACTCCTCTTTACTAGTCATTAATCTGAATGGTCCTTGAATGGTATCAGCAGATGCTTTCTGTTTAAACTAAATCCAACTTTGTCTCCCTCTCACATCTTCTCTTAAACAGTTTCATACAACAAATCCATTGACTATTCATCAACCTTTCCCCATTAGTCATCAGTTAGGTTAAATGATTAAAGTAGGCCTGCTAGGCCCCAATTATTGTGATTGCTGCCAACTTTCTGTCCCATAGCAGGACTGTGTCCCATTCTGGTGGCTGGACTGCAGAAGAAGAGCCTTCCTTTTGCCAGCTAATGGAGGTCTTCCTCTATCTCAAGATATAGGAGGCTCTTTCTGGAGTCCAAGGTCCTGGGTTCTGTACCCTGCCACACATGGGGTGTGGGTTAGCTGAAGGTCTGTGTGCAACATATCGATCTGTTTTGGTGCTACATGCTTAGCCATATCTAGTGCAGTACAGACGGGCCACTACCAATCTACTACATACAGTGCTGTCTTAATACAGAGATCTCCCTTACTGGGGAACAGATGACTTGTTCTGGGCCAGATCTCGAGAGGCACACAAAAATTAAAGGCTGAACTTGAGATCTGCCTCTTTGGACGAGCACCCAAAAACTCCAGCTGAAATCAACGGGTGCTTCTAGCCTTCTAGCTGCTGGGCTACCTACAGTACCTGACCTACTGCTAGCTCTAACTGGGTTCCTGACCACCTTGCTGCAGGCAGGATGGGGTGAGCCAGACTGAGTGCAGAGAGAGAGAGAGACATGTTCTTGGCATGAAGACATGTCTTAAATACTCTTTCTGGCCCATGTCAGCAAAACAGGTCACACGTGTCTTACGCCAACGTGATGGAGTCAGACATGGAGGCTACGGGCGTGATCTCCAGAAGCAGCCTTGTGCGAGTGCACTTCTCCTGCATCTACTCCTACGAGCGGGTGGTCCAGCTGCCCTTCTCCCTTACTGCCATCGACACGTGAGTTGCTTGTCTTCCCCTCTCCTCTGGACAGGCATTTCCCTCCTATACTAAATGCTCGTTGGCTGCCGCCCTCAGGTGGCCGAGTTTCACTGGTGAAGCTGGATGATTAAGGCCTGATCCCTGGTGGTGCTGAACCCCCACAATTCCAGCTGAAGCCGATAGGAGCAGTGGGTGTGTGGCTCCTCTAAAACTAGGTCTCATATTTACAAGCCATTAAAGGGTGTAAACAGCTGTAAAAATAGCTTCTGTCGATAAGATGAAGATCTGCCAGGCCACCAGGAGGTGCTGGTGAGCTTTGAGAGCTGTGTGTGTCACATCAAGATCCTGTACCCTCACTTCGTACAGAAGAGGCCCTAAATGCCTGACTTGGACTGGCTGAAAGCCGCCTTCCTGCCCCCTGCTGCACTGGGCAGCTTGCCTGAAGGGGCCTGTGCTTTCAGTAGCATGTGTTGCAGGCAACTGAGATGTTCGTCAAGATGTGACATCCGATTCCTGCCTTTCTATCTGCCCCTCCACTGCAAATAAACTAGCTTGCAGTTCACCAAGTGAGCTGGGGGGAGGGTAGGGGGCAGGACGGTGAGCCCCATCAGACTCCCTGCCACTTGGTGTGTGTCGGGGAGAGACCCTCTTGGGAGACTGCAGATGGAGACGTCTTGGGTGCATTCTTCTCAGATGCCGCTGTTCGATACCCCAGTGGGGCAGTCTGGATGGGAGCTGCTCTCTCCAGGGGTTCCTTGTGCAGAAGGGCTGCTCTTTCTGTTCTCACACCAGGTGTATCTGGGCAGGTAGCAAACTGTGCGTGAGTGTTGCTAAGGGTTGGCGATGGGACCCTGGCTGTAAGGAGAGCAACAGATAGGCTTCCCTGTGGGCAGAAGCTGGTGGCACGTGGGGATCTGTCTGCAAGCTCCAGAACTGGATGCTTGGTGGCTGCCTCCATTCTGCCTTTTTCTAACTCTGGGCCTGGTCTCCCTGATCTCCTCCTAGGCTGGTGAAGTTCGTGGTCAAAGAGGGGGAGTTCAACGTGACCATGGCCTTGTACGAGACCTCCGCTTACCTGCAGCCCTACCGGCAGCAGCCCCCGGCCCTCCCCCTGTCGGAGTTCCTCTACATCCTGCTGCAGCTGGAAGGGCAGAGCCAGGTGCGGTACTTCCTGCTGAGCCTCGAGGACTGTTGGGCCACCCCGTCAGCAGATCCCAGCCATGACGTGCAGCACCAGCTCATCGTGAAGGGGTAAGAGCAGCGGTTTCGAGCTCTCCCCAGGCTCCTCACCATGGCGAAAAGCCATGTGCTTTACTAGCCCTGATGCTAGGTAATTCCGGGAGGGGAGGAGTCCAGGTCCAGGTTGCCGTGACTGTTCCACTGGAGCGACAAGATGTCAAGTCTTCACTGGCTGGCTACGACCACAGGAGCCATGTCAAGACTTTGTAATTGCCTAGCAGAGAAAATGAAAATGACCACTAACCATGTGGCATGCGGAGCGAAGTGCAAAACCCACCTCTTCCTCCCACACTTCATCTTAAGAGGAGGAGTGACCGTAATCTAGAGATGTTCAGATCCCAGAATGATTCTGGGGAGAAGGCCCTGCAAGAGAAGCCGGCTTATCTCCTGAGCATGTCCCATCTTTCATATCTGTGGGAGAAAGTGCTCGCTCCCTCGATCTTTTCCCCCATCCCAGCACCTGGGACAGTTGGCCACTACTCTAGTGCACTCTGGCATTCATGCATTAAACGCAACCTGTCTTGTTTTAAAGCTGCCTTGTGCAATCCTAAGTGACTTCCTTGTTTGTATCGTGGTAGTAATTGAGCCCTTTGACCCCTCGTGGACCCAGGAGTCTGTTGTGGCAGGTGCTGTACAAACACCACTGCAAAGCTGGTTGCTTTCTTGGTAACTCTCTGCACCGTTGTTCGTAGAACAGCATGTCAAAAGGCAGCCTGAACCCGGAAGACCTTCTAGCCTGTGTTACTCTGAGATGTAGCTTAGTGTCCCAAAGGAGGATGCGGGAAATCAAGACTCCTGAAAAGGATGCGTTTCTGGTCACAGTCATGATCTGACCGGATTCTGGAGTGAAGCTACCTCTCCACATAGCATCAGGAATATAAATAAGCCATTGCTGAGTTCTCTTGCATGGATAAGGATAGTGAAGCAGGGGAACGGGTTACCTAGGGAGGTGGTGGAATCTCCATCACTGGAGGTTTTTAGAACAGGCTGGACAAACACCTGTCGGGGGTGGTCTCTGTTTACTTGGTCCTGTCTCAGTGCCGGGGGCTGGACTGGGTAATCTTTTGAGGTCCCTTCCAGCCCTACGTTTCTCTGAGGGAGTCAATGATGGGGGTGCATGTTACTGTCCCATGCAGCTTGTGATCCAGCACATGGTCTAGCAAGACTAGTTAAAACTATGGGGCACAGGCCTGCAAGGGACATGAACAGAAATTGGATACAGGGAACAGTGACCCCATTAAAGCAGTTTGAGCTGTGGGCATGCAAACCACTAATAGAACAGTGGAGAGCCCCACAATGCCATGATGATGCATAACCACAAGGCACAAGCATCCTGATACACCAGCCTTTCATCAGAGGCAGCGTGGCCAGAGCACTGGACTGGGGCTTAAGAGACCTGGATTCGATTTCCAGCTCTGCCAGTGACCTTGGCAAGTCACTACCCCTCTCTGCCTCAGTTTCCGCACTGTAAAGTAATATCCTTTTCCTTGACCTGCTTTGTAAAGTGCTTTGAGATCTACTGATCTATATAGGCATTATCGCCTCCTTGGCGGTTGGGAGGAAGAGAATCTTTTCTTGCTGCTGTAAGGTAGGACTGAGCTTAGACCGTTTCTTTCCTCCCCCATCTATGGGCAGGGAGTGACTTGGAAATGAAACTCTCAGGTAGAACAAGGAGCACCCTTCCCCAGAGAGATGCACACAGATGCAGGCTCGTAATGCTCTGAAAGAAACATCCCCTTCGTTGCTTCCTGCTCATCATGCATCATCTGGAAAGGGGAAGTGGCTTCCCTGCAGAGTTCAGATAAGGAATTAACCCAGAGGTCACAGCTGGTCAGAACTCAGCATTGTGAAAACTGGAAACTCTTCTTGGTTTCAAATTTAAAAAGAAATTCTTCCGGGGGGAGAAGTGGAAGCATGACTGTTTCTTGTTCCCCCCCAATCCTTCCAGGGGATGGGGAAGGGGAAGAAAATGGGGGGAGGGGAGAAACAGGGGTTAACATTTTTGAATTGAAAACCAATCTGCATTTTTGTCCAAAGCCATTTTCCGTTCATGCTGGCATCCTTCCTCCCTAAAAATCCCCTACCTCTACCTGAGACTGCATCTGGCAGCTACATTTGACCCCCACTGCGTAAAGCCAGACATCTCAAGGGCAAAGCCTTCTCCACTGAAAGACCAGGCACTGCACGGGGACTGCTGGCACCTCGTGGTGTAAAACTCCCCAGGCTGACTTGGCTCTTGAATCTCTTCCCCCCCCCCGCCCCCCGCAGGTGTCCCCGTGATGAGACCGTGATGTACATCAATGATATCGGAAACAGCACCATGGCAAAGTTCAGCTTCCAGATGTTCCAATTCATCAACTACTCGGAGGTGTTTCTGCACTGCCGAGTCCGCCTGTGCCTCCCTGATGGCCCCGAGCCCTGTGCAAAGGTGAGGTCCCCTCTCACTGCAAGCGGGGCTTGTTGGAAACCCTTCTCCTCTGAGCTGCCTTAGCTGTGGCAGAGGGCTCTGCTCTGGATTCAGCTAACCGTTGGCTACAGGCCTCTCCCTGTGGAACTGTTACTTAACAATAAGGATCCGTTGGACCCGTTTTCTTTAAGACTTGCCTCCCTTGTGGGGCCTGTAAATCGGATAGTGGGACCTGCACAGGAGAGCACTCCTGCAGCATGACCATATGGGGCCCCATTAAGGGCCCTTATCTCTGTCTGTCTATCTGCATTACTACAATGCTAGCAGCTCTAGTCACAAGCCAGGACCCCGCCGTGCTAGGCAGGGTACAAACACAGACCAAAGAGACTGGCCCTGCCCCCAAAGAGCTGACAATCTGCGCTGGGCCTCAGATTTGCCCCAGTTCTTTCAGCAGCTCTCTGGCTCTCCTTGCTTCCAGAAAGAACAGAGCATGATGGTGCTTCCTCTTAAGAGGCGGCTGCCCAGTGATGGAGGGCCTCTTCTCCTTTCCCTCAGAGCTCCAAGATTACATTATAGAGGGCTTTTACTTTAACCTCCCCTTTAATGATAGCTGGTTCCATCCAGTTCATTGGTCTGCCTGGCTGCTGGATAAATGAACTGAAAACATCTCGTGTACGTAGTAGAAGGTTCCTGGGACCATGCAAGTGGAGGCTTTTCACTGCCAGTAAGTTGGGCTTGATCTCCAGAGGAAGGGCTCTTCCTACATGGCACGGGAGGGGAAAAAGCAAGAGTCCCATCCTGCCCCCGTGTCCTAGCTTTCTTCTCTCTGTTCCGCTCACAGCAATGTCCCAGGAAGACGAAAAGCAAAAGGGCACTTGAGGAGGACTACAAGAAGATTGTCTCTTATGGACCCATCCATCTCCTCGCCTCTCCCCTTTCTGGAGCACGGAGTGCTGAGTCGGGGACAAAACTGCAGGACCTTTGGGGTATGTATGTCCCTCCTGGATACCTGTACAAAGCCAGTTGAGTAGGAACAGTCCAATCACACTTGCCCCCTGTTACATATAGCCCCGTTAAAGGAGGCTGTTAAGATCTCTCCCCTGCAATGTGGCAGTTTGGGGTCTTTCAGCCTGTCACATCTCAACGCTCCTATATTGTGTTCTGCAGTGACTAGAAGTCTCAAGATGTAGAATGTGTATAGAGCCTAGTCTGCCCCACCGAATCTGCCTCTTCCTAGACCAGACGTCTGCCATGGCACAGAGTCATTTGGAAGACCAGGGAATGGCTTGGAGGAGAGGAGCTGATGGCAGGAAGCCTGTAGAATCCAGTGATTAAGGGCCAGGCTTTTCGAGAGCTTGGTGCTCCACATACTGAGTGCTTTTGCAAATTGGTGGGTGCTACGCTCTCTGGAGAATCTGACCCTAAATGTTATGAGTGAGGGACTGGTTAAGATCAGGGCTTCAGATTTTTGGTGTTAACTGACAAGTGCCAATAAAACATCCAGATCCAAAAAACAAAATCGGTGTTTATCCAATAAAATGCTGGAAATAGTGATTTGTACCTAGAGAGCTTGTCTACACAGAGCAGTAATGCGGACTACAGGAATGTGACTTCTAAAGCACACTGTGTTGTGCATGAATTGGTCTGTGTAGATCTTGCCGATGCACACCAAGGTTCCCGAGTGTGCTGTAACATTTGAAGCTGTCCTACATTAATGTGCACTGGCGAACATTACAAGGAGATGACTCACTATGGTATGAGTGTAATAAGTATTGTGTATATCTGGGATCGGCAACCTTTGGCCTGCAGCCCGCCAGAGTAAGCCCCCTGGCAGCACTGGGATGGTTTGTTTACCTGCCACGTCCGCAGGTTTGGCTGATTGCACTGGCAGCGGTTCACTGCTCCAGGCCAATGGGGGCTGCAGGAAGCAGAGGCCAGCACATCCCTCGGCCCATGCCGCTTCCCGCAGCCCCCATTGGCCTGGGACGTTAAACCGTGGCCAGTGGGAGCCACGATCGGCCAAACCTGCGGACGCAGCAGGTAAACAAACTGGCCCGGCCTGCCAGGGGGCTTACCCTGGTGGGTTACGGACCAAAGGTTGCTGATCCTGTGTGTGTGTGTACAAAGTGCCTTGAAAAACTCCCAATTTTGGGGGCCATCTACATAAAACTCAAATGGCTGAAAATAAGCCCTAATTCAGAGACAGCCTTGAAGTATGCAGGCCTTATGGGCCGAGTGTGTCTTTGCTGTAGAGCAGTGTGTCCTACTCACTGGTGTGGAGATCAGTAGCCATGATGGCTCTTGCCTATCACGAAGTGACCCCACCTTCCCAGGCCTACTGCAGTGGCAGGCTCTCGACTAAGGAATACAATTCTGGTTCTTCCTTGTAACTGCTTTCTTTTTTAGGGCCACACCTGTGGATTCCTGGTGCCCTGGTAACGCTGATCATAGCCGGCCTCTTTGTTCTGGTTGCTATCGCTAAAGCCATGAAGAAATGAGTGATATCAAGAGAGCATAATTTCTAAATAAACCTGCCACTTGCAAAGAGGGCGTCTGTCTGCTTCTTTAAACAAACTTCTCTGGAAGAACAGGCTACTTGTTTAGAGGAGGGAAGCTGGTATAATACTCAAATCGTTCAACCACTTGAGTCTCTTGGCTGCTTATGTTCTCTTGTGCCTATAGCTGCTGACACGGAGCAGAATTTCCCAGCATATCCCACAACATCCAAGCCCCTATGAGCAAGCGCTGTGCTGGATTTACAAAGCTTAACCACTCTATGGAAACAAAGGTGGTGATGGGTTGGAGCCATTAGCTAGCAAACAGGATATTAGGGGAGACTTGCAAAGGGCAGTGAGGTGCTCGAGCCCATTCCAGCCACTGAGCTGGGTGCTTAACACTACTTTGTGCCTTTGACAGTCCTTCCCCTTGCTGTCCCCAAGAGTGTTGGTTTTAAAGGAAATGCATCCGATGAAGTGAGCTGTAGTTCACGAAAGCTTATGCTCAAATAAATTGGTTAGTCTCTAAGGTGCCACAAGTCTTCCTGTTCTTTTTGCGAATACAGACTTACACGGCTGCTACTCTGAAACCGGTTTTAAAGGGGATGGTGATGCGCTATGCTGGTTAACCACTGAAACAGCGAGCTGCAAGTGTTGGTTCCCCAAGACACTTGCTGAATGGAAACACTTAGGGGAAGAATGATGGGGCTGTTGCTGTGGGAACCAAAACTTTAGAACTTGCTGACCTGTCTAAATCCTCCAGCTGGTCAATGCTTTAACATCCGCTTCCTCTCCCAGCCAGCCTGTTTTTGCCCATAACCTCTTGCCTCCAGTATCTATCTGGCTATCCATCTGAATGCACCGCAGGTGATTTTTCCATGCAGTGGCGCTCATTGATACATGCCATACCCAAGAGACTTAGACTCTCTTAAACACCAGCAGTGATGCAGCCCATGATCTTCACGTAGTTGGAGGTGTTGCGATTCAAGCCAAACCTCTGCCTGGAGCAAGCTTCCTAGCAGGTTTAATGCTTCACCGTGGACGCAGAGGTTTGGGTGACTTTAGTGAAGTCTGCAAGTTTGGGCACAGTGGGCACAAATCTATTGAACTATACACCTGTAAGTGATTACCCTAGGAACCCTCAGAAAGAGGCATGTGGCTGTTTGCAGCAATGTAATGACTCATGTCTGCTTAAGGGAGAACAGACTCTTTGTAACTGGGTGCAGTTCCATGATTCTGCATGGAAATTGTAATTATTGCTCATTTGCATAGCCAAATTAGCACAAGTGCAGAGCCTCCCCTACAGGAACTGCGAGCTCTGGCCTGTGTATGACTATACACTAAGTATAAAAACCTCTTGCATTACTTTATCTAGAATTACTCAGTAACAGTTCTTGCTACCCCTAAGTATTTCAGGGACTGTTAAGGCCATTTAGGAGGCTATTCTGTACATAAGTGGTGAATGAGGTGTCTTGAGCCTGTTTGTAAAAGCAGCAGCCATTGCAGTGAAATCTGTTCGTGCTTCAAACCATGCCCTTTTTCAGGAGAGGTGCAGATCAGGCAACTCTGTACCCAAAGGAAAGGAGTAAGCAGAGAATATGGAGAGAGATCTGCTGCCCCCAGACTTCTGATTGTGCTCAGTGTCACACCCTGGAGGTTCCCAGTGGCGTCAGGAGGGAATAATCTCAATATGCAGGGTGTATTAATTCACTTATTTATTCAAAAGTCCTCAGCAGTACATGTGCAGTGCCATGGATTAGAAATGGATTCAGGAATTTTGATGGAATGGCCTAGTGCATAATGGAGTTCCCACTGATAAATGGAAGAGCTGCTTTTTCAACTCCAGGGAATGAGGAGGGAGAGAGAAATAAGTCAGCCCATCAAGCCTCTGCAGCTCTGAGAGATGTGTGCACCCTTCTACCTATCTGTATTTATTGGAATCTGCTAACTGGGAATTGTTCCCAGGAGCCAACTTATTCCCCATTAATATATAGCAAGAGAGACACCTGCGAAAGGGGGGACAGAATCCTCTTATCTGATTGTGCTGTAGCTCAGTTAAACTCCATCCATGAACCTGTAGTGACTGTCAGGTTTCACCCCTGTCCTGCTGCGCTTACAGATTTTCCTGCTGGCTCAATTCCAACTCCTGGTCCTCTTCCGCCTTAACTAAAGGGGCAAAGCTATAGAGCTTGAATCCATCAAGCTTATGCCTAGAAGTCTCCATTCAGATCTCATTCCTCTTCTCTCTCTCAAGAGGGAGCTCCTTAGAAGAAAAATCCAATGGGAGTAAGGTGCTTAAATACCTTTGCAGATCTTGACCTAAGTGAGTAAGGGGCAGTTGTGAGCCCACAAGAAAGCTGTGATGATCTGCAGGGACATTAGCTGAAGTAGGTGAGATGCCAGGTGCTCTAGGCTCTGTCTTCAGGTAACCAAGGCCCCTTAATCAGACAGAGAGGTTGGCCTCTGTGAAGAGTTTCTCTTATGGCAAATCAATTTCACAGGGGGGTAAACTGAGCCATAGCTGGTAGCCTTGGGCAAATAACTTGACTCCTCTGTGCCACGGTTCACCCATCTGTAAGGAAGGTATTATTCTGATCCTCATGCAGTGCATCAGGTTCAGAACAAGGCACAGAACGCAGGCCACTTACTTCCAGTTCCCTGCTCTGACTGCTAGACAAAACTCCTCTCCCCCACCCCACCATGGGAAGGAGCACAGAAAGGGGCTCATCTACTGCATGATTGTGCTTGCCACGCAAGCCTAAGCACGGCTCTCCACCTTGCTAGCGCCCTGCCCATCCCTCTCCGCTCATTGAGGAAGCTACGTGGACTGGGCAAATTCCTCTGAACTAGCCCCCCCTCTGCCTGGAAGAGAAGCTGGGCCTACAGTTAGCTGTGGGAAGCGGTGGTGACTTTCCCATTCTTGCCGCTGCTGGAGGAGGATGTGGTTGCTCCTTTCTTTGGATAGTAGAGAACAGCGAACCAGATGAATATGAAGAGACCTGTGGAGACAGAAAGGCCTCGGTCAGGGTGGAAACGTTGGAATCTGTCCTGCTGGCGAACGCTATGGCTAATGGCCCAGGGACCTTTACCAGCACAAGTTTGAACCTAGCCTCATGAGCTCTTAGTACGTACAGGTGAAAGCGGAGATTGGCTTATACACCATTCCGGGGGGAACGTCCCCTGTCTCCTGCTGCCTCAGCAAGCCCATGGACTTCCGAGGTGAAGCTGAAGGAAGCTCCTAAACTCACTTGCCCTAGCTGAGCCGCTGTTAATGGACCAGCCCTCGCTAAAGGGGGGATTCCGAAGAGTAAACTCTTGCAGGGGGTGGTAGCCACCTGCGTGCCCTCCCTCCCACCCCCTGAGAGCTACATCCCTCGCTGCGGGGGCAGGCAGCTCTTTAGCTCTGAGCTCCGCAGAATGCTGCAGTTGGGCCTGGCCCCCCAGAACCGCCTTCCTCTTCAACAGGGAAGCGTGGCCTGCAGAGAGGTCCCAGCATGCACGGCTCTAGCTACGAGAGGCCCGAATGGCTTTCCGTTCGGTTCAGGATGTAGCACTGTTCTTTGCGGCCTACAGCGCTAGTGGGTCACATCTCTCTATTAAAGGGGAGGGCCGCTGTGATCTGGTCCACCCTGAGCCACGGCTGCGGCCCTCCAGCCTGGGGCGAGTTGCCAGTGTAGCCGCTCGGCAATGCCTGAGCGCCGTTGGTAGGCCGTGCCGCCTGGCCTTGTGCTTTAGCTGGGAGCTGCGCCCTGACCTTGGAGAGAGTTCAGTACTGTGAAGAGGTACGCTGCGGGCACGGACATGGCGCCGTAGGTGAAGAAGGCCAGCCCCCAGGTGCCTCCCAGCAGGCAGGAGAGGCCTAGCACTGTGAGGCCCCCCTTCCAGGCCTTTATTTTCTCCTCCTTCCCCGCTGTGGCACGCTGCAGGCTGAACAGCTTCCAGGCTACCACCACGAGGACCAGGGTGTTGAAGAGGAGGATCAGGCCGAAGTAGCTGCAGTTGGTGACGTAATGGACCACCAAGTGAGCGGAGTCTATCCAGCACCTGCAAGGGACAACACAGTGAGCCTGGACGGCGGGTCTAAGATGTCAGAGCTGGGGTGGGCGGCAGGCAATGGAATGGGGCCGCACACCAAGAAATTGCTCCTGTACGGATCGGCGCACGTGGCTCTCCCAGCATGGGGACCCCTCTGCATAGAGTCCCTCCTAGAAGGCAGGGCCGGGTGCTTTCAGAAGGGGGGTGCGGGTAGAAGGGTGACAGGGTCTGTGGTCGGGAATGCCCCGGTGCTAGGCGCCCCTGGTCTGTGATGTTGGGCAGTGATGTTCTTCCCCCTCTCTCACCTCGGGAACTCCAGCGAGCGCTGCAGCAGACAGCGAAGCCCAAAGACACGGGGCAGTGGTGTGTACTGGGATAGGGCAAGCAGCCCTTTTAAACACAGGCTTCCCGTGGGCTGGAGCGGCCAAGCTCTAGGAATGGCCTCCACTCCCATCCCTAGGCCATATGATCCTGCCAGGAGCAGGCTGGAGTACGGATGCTGAAGGCCAGATCCTGCTTTCCTTGTTTTCCCCAATTCCCCGCTGAGGTCCGTGGGAGCCTCGGCTGCCCAAGGAAGGCACAACTGGGCCCTGAGTCTTCCCCTTTCACTTCTATAGTGGGTGGTGTCCCCATGTCACAGCTGGGGCACAGTCTGGGCATAGCGCTATGCATGGGGAGTGCGTGGTTTCTCCATGTGGGGAGGCTGCACGTGCCTGGACCGTGGCCCCACCCTGAGGCCCACCCCTGCTCAGCTGCCTCCTCCTGAAGCCCCACCCATGCTCCACCCCTGGCCCTGCTAAGCCCCCTCCCCAAAACCCCCCCACCCGCTACTCACTGGCTGCCCACTCACTGCTTGCGCGTGCCTCTTCACCCTGTCCTGCGAGGCCCCCATGCGGGCAGAGCTGGGACGGGAAGAGGCGAAGCCGTGGGGGAAGAGCACGAGTGGGAGCGGGGCCTTGGGATGGAGCACAGGCCAGGCTACAGCTGGGACACCCACCCTTTCAACAGCGGTGCGCTCCAAAGGCGGTGGGCTGGCTGTTTGGGGAGGCTTAGCTTCCCCTGGCCTCTTCTACCTGCCCCTCTGGAGCTATGCAAGGGCCGCCCTGCAGTGAATTGGGTGGGCTTAACACCGCTGCAGCAAGCTTTTAGTGCTTAACCTTGAACAGAGGGCGAAGCTGAGGAGCAAAGAAAAGATGGATCCAGTTTCCTTTCTAAGGCAGCAAAGGAACAGGAGCGGGCTTGCTTTGCCCAAGCCGAGACACAGCTAATCCACACCACCGAGAGCCAGGAGTGAGGGTGCAACTTACAGGGTGACGGTGGTCCGGTTGGCCGTATCCATAATGGTGTATTTTCCATAGCTGTTCATGCTGCCAGTGATGGTGACCACGAGAGCAGGGAAGCCTGAAAAAGCAAAGGGAGGGGTCCGTGAATGCCCGAGGAAGGGGGAGATGGGTGGCTATTTTTTCTTTCTGTTTCTAAATGCTTTGGTCTGACCTCTTGTCCATCTACGCCCAGGTCCAGACGTGGTCTGAGACAACAGGCAAATCTCAGCAGACACAAACTGTTTTAAGAAGCCATTTTGTGGAGCTGTGATATCATTTGGAGACTTAGGTTGGGTGGGCTCTGGTCTCCTTCTCCTATACTCCCAGCAGTGTTGCTGTGCCTTGTGAACCGCTGCTGTGCCCCACTCCAAGGGTGGGGGGGATTGATCTCTGATAAAGGTAGATATTTAAAATCCAGAGGATCTAATCTTCTTACTAAGGGAGGTCAGACTTTGGTCCCAAACAGGTTGGCTGTGTCCCTTTAAGAGCTGGCCCTAAGCTCTCCATGGCTAGGGAGCCCACCGTTGAGCCTGACAATCCAGCCCCTAGCAAGCTGGGGGAGATGCAGCCTACCCCAGCCGACGAGGGACAGCTTCGCCATGTAGTGCCGAATGTAGATGTTGGTGACTTTGATGACCAACCGGTAGAGCTGAAAGGCCTCAATGGCCATCCAGGTGAAACAGCAGAGCAGGGAGTAGTGGGTGAAGCCTCCGATGCCCTTGCATAGCCCTGTATGGCCCAGGCTGAAGATCCGTCTGTTCAGTAGGTAGGCCAGGTTCAGGAGGAGCAGGCTGCTCGTAAGGTTCACGTGGATCTTGGCCGTGTCATTGGACTTGAATATTTTGTAAGCGAACCTGAAAGCGAAATGAGGCTCAATGAAGACCCAAGACAGCTCAGGGAAAGAGTGACACCCATCAGAGAGCATCGCTGCTCTCAGAGCTCCCATTCTCCGCTGCCTCTTAGGAAATCAAGGAGTGGTTACTCTCATCCTTCACTGGGGGTGAGATAGCCCCATGAATGTGGGTTGTTGATTTAATCTCTCCAACCATGTAGAAAGAGAGAGAGAGAGAGACACGTTAACGCCGGAACGTCCTAATGAAACACAGAGCAGAGAGAGACGTGGCACGACCCAGGGGAAAACAAAGGACCCGGTTGGGGGAAGAGAGGATGAGAGGGGAGGAGACTGGAAGCCTTTTGGGGCAGAGACTCTTTTGTTGTTGGTATTTGTGTGCATGGAGACCAACATGACAGCAGCCTAGTCCCTGGTTGTGACCTCTGGGCCCTACTGCAATCCAAGTGACTGGCAGAAAATGAGACACTCAGAGGCTGCCCCTTGCAATGGGGTGACCGCGGCGCGAGGGATGCCTCAGGAACGCCGGACCATGGACAGTTCTTGCTTCCCTTCCCCTTGACTCAGGGGGGATTTGGGGCCAGTCTCAACCCTGGTGTAAGCAGATGGTACAACCAGTGAAGTCACTGGAACTGCACCAGTTTACACTAGGGCTGAGCTTAGCCCATAGACTCTGCGTTCGCCCAGTTCCAGGCTCCAGCGGGAGGGCTGTATAGGGAGGGTGGGGATGCCAGGAACATTCAGAGAGAGCCTGAGAGAGAAGCTGGAAATGTCCTACCTTAGAGCAAAGTACAGGCTGATGGTGAGGGCTGAGAAGACCACGGAAATCCCACAGCCGACATCTGCGATAGTAAATAACTTCTGGGCTGCGGCATTGTCTAGGGACGGATTCTGTCAAACACACACACAGGCGCTGGGTTACCACAGGCGCGGGCTGGTGCGACAGCAGTCAGCAGAGGACGCGAGAACGCAGGCAGCTTAACAACCTGCTGGAGCCGCTGGGACAGCAAGGCTGACCTTCTGGGCAGGGTTGGGGTGGGGATTAAAGGGAGGGCTGCTGCTGCAGGTCCAGCTTGGAACGCCCCTGGGTGAGGAGAAGGGGAGTGGAGCGTGAGAGAGCTAGTCAGGCTGCCTGGCTGAGTGCAGCACAAAAGGAGAGATGTGGTTCTGAGCAGACCAGTCACTCCTGCCATGTCCTGTAAAGATGGGCGAAGGAGGAGCGGGGATTAGCTATGGTTGCAATGGACAGTAAAGACTGGGCAGCACCTCACTGGGGAGGCGAGAATTTAAGTCTCTCTGCCTTGGTATTGCAGGCCAGATGCTTAGCTGGAGAACGTCCCCCTCCGCCATCCAGCCACTGAAGGTGTTGGGTTGGGTTTGTTGCTGATTAGAGACCAGGGGCTTGGAGAGGTGGAGCCCATCTTTGTCACTGGAGCTGGGCTGACTTTCTACAGGCCTCAGATGAGGTGTAAACGTACAGCCATCATGCCAGTTCATATATGGAACAGCTCCAGCGCAGATTGGACCTGGCCTCTGGAGTTCAGGATGGAGCAGGCAGCAGAAGCCAATGTAAAAGCAGTAGGTACAGAGGATACGTGATACCATTAAGAGGGTGAAGAAGGTCAGGTGATCACAGCAGCACATGGTCCCCCTGTCTCTGAGTTCAGTGAGACAGCCAGATGTGTTCCATCCTCCGCACCTGCCTGCAAAAGTCACATGGAGAAACCACGGAGTGGAAACCAAGCACATCCTCAATCCTCACTGCGCACAGCCACCAATGAGAAACGGAAGCTGAATGGCCCTTCGAGTGCCCTGGAGACCTCAAAGTGAGTGCCCTGGAGACCGAGTAAAGCCTCCAGTTTGGGGAGGGGATGGTGAAGGAAAGGACGTGGGGTGGGATGAAGGCCTCATCTGTCATGGCTTGCAAAGACCATGGTATAGGCTCCGATGCGATACTGATGGGGGACATATGCATACATAGGTTGGTGTCTGTCTAGCCTATGAGAACAAAGGACATATACCATGTGACCGCCTCTGGCACAGCCAGAGCCTGGACATTAAGTTATTAAATGTGAAATACATCTTGAGGCAGAGATGATGAGGGGAGGGGCCCATCAGATACATGTACACGGGCTGGTTCCTGTATCGCTCACCTGGCTACAGGGAAATTCTGAGCTCTGCTCACCAGAGGCCTCTCTGGGGATTATTCTAACAATACATTAGCTCTCGTGGTTCCTGCCTGCCTGAGGGCCTGCCCCCACGCCGTTGACCAGGAACGGACCCAAGACTGGGCACTTCAAATTTGCGAGCAATTGCAGTTAAAACACACAAAAAGCCAAACACGTCAAGCAACCGCAGCCCAACCAATTCTGAGTGAGCACCGGCGCCCAAGGGTGTCCGTGTCGCCTTCCAGACAAGGCCTCGGCGCTGGAGGGCGCAGGTGCTCCACAGAGGTGAAGAGGCAGACTGGCCCCTGCCCCAGTGCTGCTAGCTCTCAGCACAGAGGGCTTGGCAGGGCGGCAGGGTCTCGTGGATCTAGTCCCACCCTGGTAGGCCCGAGGTGCAGTCCTTTCTGGATGCGCGGCTTGTCTCTGCAAGACTTTTCCTGCTCTCGTCTCAAGCCTCTCCTGGGCTGTGCCAGGGGCTGCCTGCACTCCCTGGGTGAAGCTAGTGTTTATTCTCAGTCCTGCCAAGGCCCTCCACCTCACGTACCTTTCTTGGTGTCCCAGAAGACGCACTGACGGGCCACGTTCTGCAAAGACAGAGTGGGTTAGTGAGCAGGGTGGCCTCCCTCGGTGAGGAGGAGAGGGGAGGGGAATGCTGGCTTACCTGGGGCAATAGTCCGTGGGAGAAGGTGAGTTCTACACAGTCATTGAGCCCGGTGATTTGCCTGCCTCCCACTTTCACACTGACCATGACGTTGTCTAGCATGGTGCCTGTCTGGTCAGGGTCCTGCGGGACATTGGCATAGTTCCATGGCCACAGTTAGTCTGTACGCTTGAGGACCTCAAGCTCGCAAGGGTAGTAGAACCCATACCCACTTAGTGCAGTGCTCTGTCTCTCTCTAGTGGAGACTCACTGGTTGATGAGCCCCCTTGTCTAACAGGGCTGGATCCTTTAGCTCAGGTAGTCGAGCTTCATGCCTTTAGAGCCAGCAGTCCTAGGCTTGTTTCCCTGCTGCTGCCCCACCGACGGGTGCAGCATTGCAATGCAGCCCTTGTGCTGCCATGGGTCCTATAAGACTCTGTATGGCCACAAAGGAGTTAATTCAGTCACCTGGCCTTTATACCTCTCCGCATCAGCTGTGGAATCAAGTAGTGGCTGTCATGGGTCAGTGTCTACTTCATCAGGAGAATGTACCCTCGTGCTGCCAGGCATAATCTGATCCCCGCCATAGCCGACCACTCCCTAATCAATACCGCCTGATCAGTGAGATGCGTGATGGGGGCGTTCGCCTTCCTCTGGAGAATCAGGGATTGCTCAGGGCCAGAGGCAGGACGGCTAAGAGATCAGCTGAACCTCTGCTCTGACTGTTACGGCAACACTTACCTTAAACAGGCCCACCTGTCCAACGTCGAGCACCAACACTGCCACTTTGACGTAGTCTGTCTCGCTGCGAATGGACTGAAATAGTCCCCTGGGGAGTTTTACGTTGCTCCCGTTCCTCTTCTCACTTGTGTCTAGCTCCTTGGGGACCTACGCCGTGGACCATTAATAGTTGATTATTATTTGCTAACAATGCCTTGTTCTTCTAGAGCACCTTCTGCGACGTTACTGACATAACCTATGACCGTGTAAATCATTGTTGCAACCACTGTTATATATTTGCAGCAAACATTGTACAAAGGGTGTCGTGTGAGGTGTCTATGGAAAGGTTGTGAGTTGCTAATTATAATAATGCTGTCTGAATGTGTGGATCGTTTTTGTAGTTGAAGTTACGAATACTGGCTATGTACTTGTATCTCAGTGTGTTTTGACTCTGAGGTAGCCTTAGCAAAACATTTGGTCAGCTTCTTGAGAAAGGAATTTTCAAGTTAAGTGCCCAGTCAAGAAACACTTAACTGATAATAAACCTTGGAAGACTCCAATCCACATAAGAAGTCTTCCTGAGGATGTTCAAGATAGCAGGTGAGCAACGGCTGTCACCGGTAAAGAATGGAGTCATGCATGGACATGTGACTTGCCCATGTGACTCCAAACTCCATTTTGCTGTAATTTTCCACAGTAAGAACAAAGAGGTGTTCTTACACCTGGAAGAGACTATGAAAGGCAGCTGCCTCATTTCCATCTTGTCTTCAGTCCTGCTCCTTACTTCTGGAGGGACTTTGCTACAAACTGAAGCTCTGACCAAAGGACTGAATGACCCATCCCAGCTGTGGATGTTCTCCAGAGACTTGATTTGAACCTGCAGTTTATTCCATCACTGCTACAAGCCTGAACCAAGAACTTTGCCGTGACTGTATGTCATTGATTCCAGTTAACCAATTCTAGCTCTCATCTCTATCTTTTTCCTTTTCTGAATAAACCTTTAGATTTTAGATTCTAAAGGATTGGCAACAGCGTGATTTGTGGGTAAGATCTAATTTGTATATTGACCTGGGTCTGAGGCTCGGTTGTTTGGGATGAGGAGAACCTTTTTTCTTTTACTGGGGTATTGGTTTTCATAACCAGTCATCCCCATAATGAGTGGCACTGGTGGTGATACTGGGAAACTGGAAAAAGAAAAGGAGGACTTGTGGCACCTTAGAGACTAACAAATTTATTTGAGCCTAAGCTTTCGTGCATCCGATGAAGTGAGCTGTAGCTCACAAAAGCTTATGCTCAAATAAATTTGTTAGTCTCTAAGGTCCAAAAGTACTTCTGTTCTTTTTTGTGGATACAGACTAACACGGCTGCTACTCTGAAACCTGGGAAACTGGAGTGTCTAAGGGAATTGCTTGTGTGACTTGTGGTTAGCCAGTGGGGTAAAACTGAAGTCTTCTCTGTTTGGCTGGCCTTGGTGTGCAAAGGAACCCCAGCCTTGGGCTGTAATTGCCCTGATTTAAGCAATTTGTCCTGAATTGAGACTCTCAGAAGTGTCCCACCAAGTGCAGCATTGTTACACCTTCCATCTCAGGATCCACAAACACTTTACAAACATTAATGAAGCCCCTGTGAGGTGGATATTATTCTACCCACTACAGAGATGGGGAAACAAAAGACAGAAACAGGAAGTGACTGATCCTAAGTCACTCAGAGCATCTGTGGCAGGAGTCCTGATGCTCAGTTCTCCACTCTAGCCACTAGAAAACATTGCAGCCTAGCTTTTGCCACACAGGCTGGGCGTAACCTCTGTGAGAAGAAGGAAGTTCTTGCAGATAAGAAGGGCCTCGGTGTCCTACGTTTGCTCGACTAACTTGGCCCACACCAACCATTGCGGTGAATGTGAGAGCTACAGATAGCAAGATACAGCTGGCAGCATCCCCCACCTTCTCTAGTGGTGTTTTCAAGAGGCTCTTTTCTTCATAGCTCTAGTGCAGCTGGAATCATGAGCTCTGAAGAAGCACCTGGCTGCATCATGGCTTGCAGTGCACTAGCAGGGGTTAACGCCACATGGCAGTTGCCTTCAGCACTCTGGTAGTGCAGCCATCCCATGCTATCACCCAGGCCCTGAGGTGTCTGTCTGAGAAGCTAGGAGGCCCAATGATTTATTTCGCCCCTGCTCAGAAGGAGAAGATGCTGCCATTTTGGAAGGAAGGTGTTTGCTACCTCATTCGGCGTGAGTGTGAAGACGAGATCGTGGGCGATGGAGGTCCTCACGTTCTGGACCCGCGCCTTTGCCCCTGTTATGTCTATGACGCTCTCATTCGCATCGTTCCCGGTGAGGTACTCCTCGAAGTCAGGCCAGAAGCTGCAACGGGAGGAGGGACATGCTGAGAACTGGTGAATGGGGGGAGTGCAGCTGTTCCTGCCAGGCAGGAAATGGCCACCATGTACTAAGTGTCCTATCCCCAGGAAGCTGACGCAAGGGAAGTGCTTCCTAGGCATATTTAAGCTAATGGGGAGCAGGGAAGAGAGCCAGAAAAGAGCCCGGCTGGTGTGGACTATGGGAATAACCCTTCCCAGGGTGGGAGGTCATGAACTCTTCACCTCAGCACAAGGCAAACTCTGGGACTGACAGACCCCTCTGTCCTGGAGTGGGCTGGGGGAAACTCTGGCATAGACCCCCTCTGTCCAGAGGATGAGCCCTTTCCTGCTGGGGTGGAATGAGGGGGACCTCTGGGCCAGGTTCCTCCCTCCTGGGCCAGGACGTGGGGGAATCCTGGGTTGGCTGCTGTAGCACGGGCCTGCCTGTCTCCCTTAGCCATGAGGGACCTTCTCCAACAGAGCCCTGCCCGGGTGACACTCTCCTTCCCGCTCCCGTGCACGCCCTCGTACCTGTGGATCTTGTCCCTCACACAGCTGCAGAAGGTGTTGTTCTCCTGCAGCAGCTCCTCACACGAGGCGGGGATGCTCGTGATTTTCCTGGCTGACTCCAGCTGTACTGGTAAATCGCCGTCGGTCAGGCCGATGTCACAGCAGCTAGGGTAAGAGTCCCCCCTGGGTTCTTTCTGCAAAGCTGAGGGAGGCAAACACAGCAGCGGGGGTGTTCCCAGGTCACCCCACATCCCGCTCACCCTCTGGCTGTCAGGGAACGTGCGGGGAGCAATTTGGAAACCCAGGGTTACCAAGAACAAAGGAAAGTGAGTAACAGTGTCCAGGAGGCTGTGACTGCCTGAAATTAATGGGCTAGAAAAGAACCACGAGGCCCCCCCCCCATGCTATTTCAGGGGCTCAGAGGGACTGCAGCTGGGCACCTCACAGGGGAGCAGCGGGAGGCTGGTTAGCTGTGCCGGGATGCGATCTGTAAGCCTTGGCAGCCCTTTGCCGAGCTTTCATTGCATGGCCAGAGGAAACTGACAGTAGATCAGAACCTGCCCTCTGTGTTGGATTGACCTGCCCAGATGCTCTGAGCTGGATTCACCCTGGCACAAACACCTGCAACGACCCTGACGTCAAAGGAGTTGCACCGACTTCCTTTCGGTCTCTCTCCCTCCCGCGGGGATCCTGCTGTCCATTTGCCCCTTGATTCTGCCCCTTAGCACCCATGCCAGCTCTCGAGGAGGGCTGGATCCGGCTCGCTCAGGAGCCTGCCAGAACAGCAGCAGAGCCCCATGGCTGGCCAGGTGGAAGGAGAGACTCTTGAGAGCAACACAAGACGCACTGTCTCTGCCCTCCCCTGGGATCTACTTTTGCTGCCGGGGGAGCTCAGGATTGGAAACTAGTTTCCTCACCTGTCCTTTTGCCTGCAGCAACAACATCTCCTCATACTTCAAGCAGACTTTCCTCACTCCTAGCCTGCTATCTGGGCTCTCATCCTTTTTGCCTTGGTCCCATGGGACCAATCTAATTGCATTGCGACTTGGCAAGGGAGAGAGAGAATCAGCTCAGCATGAGACCTCATATAGAGCCGCTTTCGGGCTCTTGCAAATGAAGGCAGGCCATGGTGCATGCGATTCTAGCCGGAGATGGGTCTAAACCAAACATCCAGATCCAAACGAACCTGAAAGTCAGCCCCTACAGGGAGGGCAGCACTTCATGGAGTCACACCAGGGAGCTTTGGTGGCAGTGGCCTGGTTAATGATCAGATTGAATTCCCTGGACGTAAATCCCTGAATGGGATGTGGTTCTACCAATAAACCTGTGGGAGCAGCCTACAGTTAGGCACTTAAAGCATCTCCCAGGCTTTTAGGAACATCTGGGGTGAGCTGATGGAACAGGGCCCAGGATGGGCTAAGGGGCTGTTCGGGTGGGCTAAGGGGGTATAACCAGGAGTAATGGGTGAAAGTGAGACAATAGCAACGTGGGCCGAATATGAAGGAGAGCTTTCCTGGCAGTACTTAGTTTTCTATCTTCTTAGCCCTGTACAGACATTGGATAATTAATCCTATAGCACCCGGGTGGGTCACTAGTCTCATCACCATTGGCAGATGGGGAAACGGAGAAACGGAAGTGAAGTGACTTGCCCACGTCACACAGCAGATCTAGTAGCAGAGCCCGGATTGACTGAGGGCCTCCGAAGGGGGCTCCTTCCTCAGACCACTCTACGAGGCTGTGGCCCTGTCTCCCACAGGATGTAGCGGAGTCTGTCTGAACAGGGGTAGCTCCACTCTGCCTTCGGGCTGTGGTTACTCTCCCTCATCAGCCCAGCCCTGGCAGTGCCTCGTGGCATCGCAGAGACAGGAGGTGGTTGGCTCGTTGGGTCATGGGAGCTGAGGGTGCGGGATTGGGGAGGAGGTCTGGGTTGGGTGGCTGTTTAAGGCACTCTCGCATCGGAGGAGGAAGGAAAATGGAAAGCAGAGGCAGAAGGAGGTCCCCTAGGATTCATCCTTAGCAAGCCTAACATGGATCTGCACCTGCGGCCCGGTTCAGCAGAGGAGGGGACTCACCCCAGCACTTGTCTTGTCCTCTGACGCAGTCTGGAACAAAAAGGAAATGGAGAAAACCACCAGGGTCAGTGAGTGGCATCAGAGGAGGAAAAAGATCGTCACCACAATGCACGAGACCCAGCGGAAGAGCCATTGAATCACTCAGCACTTCCTCGGTCCCGCGACACTGGAGCCAGCCTCAGTCTGTCTCGTCCTATGTCTCCTCCTCGCCTTCGTTTCTTTCCCCACCTCTCTCCCTCCCTCCACCGGTTCCCTCCCATTGGCTTAGAGCCACTGGAGCAGGGCGCCTAGGGCAAGAACGTCAGGAACCTGTAGGGAAGGAAACAGGAAAGACTAGGAGAGGCGAGACCATCAGTGGAGGGTCCCTTAATATCACTCCTTTGCCTCAGCCACATGCACGGCCCCGAGCCAATCACACGCAGATTGTGACTGAATCGCCTCGCCCACATTGAGTTCACGCACATCTTCAGCATGGCACAGATGCCAATAGCAAAACCCCGGCCAGACCTACAGCTCCCGGTGTGCCAGCACCCTAAAGATACACAGGATGCTATTACATGGAATAGGTAATAATCCGTATCGCAGATCACTGTCCCTAATACCTAGCACGGCCATGCTACTGACACAGGGCCAGATCCTCAGTTGGTCTGAAGCGATGTAGCAGCTCATGGGCTAGCCAGTTATTTCTAGTGCCTTTCAATCCAGGGCTCTGTTTCAATACCACTGCATCAAACAGTGGTTTTTCTAGCTAAGAAACCTCAGAAGATTAGCCGGGGGCTGGAGCTCTCCAGGGCCCTTCCAGCCCCACATTTCTGTGAGTCTAGCTATGTCGAGAGAGAACGATACACATAAAAGATACATTAGTACATTGCATTCGTTGGGCTGGTAATCTGGGCTCCAAGGGTTAACAGATTTTCGTGTTCAGGTCAGTTGCTTGAATGTTGCACGAGTGTTTGCTCGATCCTGCCCCATTTGGAGTCCCTGCAAAGACACCCAGTGACTGCAGTGGGTGCTGGCTCGGCCCACAGCAAATGCTCAGATTATCTTTGGAGCATATTTGCATAGATACTTCTGGCAGGATTCCCCCAGCTCTGGCTAATGTGTGATGTTCCAGGGACATCCGCCGGCCTAGCAGAGGTGTTCTAGACACCCCCTCATCATTCGGCAATAAAGCAGATCTGGCCTCCTGGGCTGTAGCCAGTATACTCAGCATACAGCTGGCGGTGGCAGGCGACCCCTTTCCACTGGATTGGGTGAATGCTCATGAAGTTGGTTCCCAACCTGCCCTATCCACGACAATGCAGGGAGCACAAAATTCACCCTACCAGCCGCTCCCTGTCAGACACCAGGGGACTGGCGCTGCAGTCAGCCAAAAAGCCAAACTTGGTCACATGATCAGAGAGCAGGCCCCCCACACCGGGCTGCAATGCAACATATAGCGCAAAAGCTTAGGGGAAACCATCTCTCTTGCCATTCCTAGCTCTCAGCTGATCGCTTTGGCCTTTCATCGAATCTCAGGGTTGGAAGGGACCTCAGGAGGTCATCTAGTGTACCCCCCTGCTCAAAGCAGGACCCATCCCCAATTTTTGCCCCAGATCCCTAAATGGCCCCCTCAAGGGTTGAACTCACAACCCTGGGTTTAGCAGGCCAATGCTCAAACCACCGAGCTATCCCTCCCCCTTTCAAATGGAAGTGTCTGTCCCACTGGTTAAACCAGCACTGCAGCCCCGTGGTTAAACCGTCTGTTAAGGGTGGGGGGCACTTTTCCCTTTTCTTTCTCAAAGCCCCAGATCCACTAGGCCAAAGCATAGGAAAGCCCCCAAAGCATCTGCAGATGACACACACACACACAGAGTGATTGGCTTCCCCCCACTAGCATCTTCTCCTCTACTCACCCAGCAGTGGCAGGAGGCTCAGGGTTGTCACCAGGAAGGAGTATTTCATGCTGTGCAGCAGATTCACCATTCTCCTTTCTTGTGTAAGTTTCTCTTTCTATCCACAGGGTTCTCTGCACCGTCCTGCTTCGTCTCTCTCTCTGGCTCTGTCACCAGCCCTGTGCTCTGAGGTTTAAATTAGGCAATGGAAGTGTCATTTCCTATCTGAAAACTTCACAATCCTTCCTGCTCCTTTGCAGAGCAAACTCGCTGATAGAGGGTTTCTGGCTGATGAGTGACAGGTCGCTCGCCTCAAAGCTCAGAGCTGGAGGTCGCCTTTCCTAAGTCCTGACCCATCTCGGGGTGGTTCTGAGGGTTCCTCTCCTGTTGTCATGGGGGCCACAATCCCATCTGAGCCCCTAAATCTCCTCTCTTCTAAGTGTCTGGCAAAAAACGTGCCCTCTGCCTCGGGTCCAAGGTCAATGCTGCTCAGTGGGTCGGAGGGCTAGAAGCGCCTGGGGAAGATGCGCCCCTTGCATTCCAGCCCATCAAGCACCCAGATGCTGTCACCTCTATGATGCCCCTATGCCCCCCGGCCCAGGAAAGTGATGGGCTCAACATTTTCTGGCCAGCGCTTGTGGCTTCTTGCTGGAAAGCTGGAAGGACCATATGTGAGCCCCAAATGTAAGTACCTTTCCAACAACCGTTCGCAAAAGCAGGATTACCAACTCCAGTCCGTCAGACATCAAGAGGTCAGTTCCCCCGAATCATAAGGTTGGCTTCAAACTCAGGAGACTTGAAGAAAAATAAATGCAGGGTTCCTTTCCTATGCGATTTGGTGTCCCAGTCATCAGGGGGCATGTTTACAAGCTCTTCCCCCCAAACCCCGAGCATGAGGAAGGAACTTTTACAAAAAAAAAAAAATAGAAAGCAGAGAGTCTCCCCTAATCACATGACCCCAGGAGCTGGGGCTTTAAGAACAACCTCAAATAGCTTGAGACTTGCCGTAACAGCATGAGAGTTGGCAACACCGCATGTGCCGTCAGTCCCAAGTTCCCAGCTCCTCCACACCACAGTGTAATGATGTCAGGGCCAGAACCCCTTGAGAGCTGCGCAAAGCGACTAGCCTTTCTGACCACCCATGGGCCAAAGAACGTGGATTCAGAATTAAAAGCAGGGAAAGCTCTCAGTGGGCTCGGTGGGTTTCCATTCCTTGAGCAGCATGAGCAAATCAACTCTGGGGACTGCAGTTTATTCGCCCTTTCCCATCCCTGGAGCATCAGGGAGGGGTTAGGAATAAACATGAGGCCAGATTTTAGAGAGGAAATATGGTTCAGTGCTTAGGCTGCTAACAAGATTCAAGGGACCTAGAATAATGGGGCCTACAAGCTTCTGTGCAAGCGAGGAAGGGGCTAATGGGCTACTGAAGGCCCAGCTCGCCCAAAGGAAGACACCTGGGGCTGGAAACGGGATTCCAGGGAGCGGCTGGAAAAGAAGAGCCCAGCTCAGTTGCAAGGGGACAGGCAAAGAGAGCAGGCGCGTAGGTTGCACCCTGTGAAAGATAAAGGTGATAAGTCCAGGGGTGGGTCCCTAGCAGATCTCCCTAGAGGAAAGGGAAGTGTTTATGGCTATGTTGCTTAAGACTTGCTTTGACCCAAGGGCCTGGAAGGGGTAGATCTGTAGGTGACTAAGCTGGGAGCCTAAGTCGCTGCCCCCCAGAAAAATGTTGGAGAATGGCGGGAGCAGCAGACGAGTAGATAAGGAAACTGAGGCTTCTGCCCCGCACCGTGCTGGAAGGGGGTGATCTGCTGGGGGGGGGTGCAGTTCTCTACAGTTGGGGGGGGCATTTGATCATTCAGAGATTCCACGCACACACTGGCATGCCAATCATTTGGCCCACCGCCACGAACGAAACAACCCTTTCTAGGCTAAAAGAATTTTTCCCACCTAGTTCGAAACTTGCTGCGTTGTCTCTTCTCCATGTTGCTTGGATACGTACGTTTCCCTCCGGGAGAAAGCCCCTCCGTATTTATTTGACAGCCCGTGGCCCCCCGCCTTCATAACAACACCGTCAGCTGGAGTATTTCTGCCTCCTTGCTCAAGAACGCTTGTGCCACAGAGCTCTCTCAGGTTCGGGCGGGGTTTGCATAGACCGCTCTTCCTGTTTGCGTGTGTGTGTGTGTGTGTGGTGGTGTTGTGTCTGTCGCTTGTTGCGGTTCCAGGATTCCGTACTGTGTAATTTGCCATCGGTCAGAACGCCTGCCAATGTAAATCAGATGTAGGAGCTGCTCATCTTACCCTCCTTTTGCACGTGCCATTACCCCATGAGTGCAGGTGTACAACTGCCCCCTTGTGGGAGCAAGCGCGACGGTTCTGGGCACCCAGAACCCTAAACAAACGTAGCAGTGAGGGGAAAAAATGACACCTGCGCAACAGCTGTGCTCCCTGGGTGTCATCTCGGCGATGGTGCCTCGCGGCACCGGAGACGCTCCGGTGAGCGCTCCCAGAGCCCGGGCAGCTATGGGACGATGTGCTGGCACCTGCTGGGGCTCATTCCACGCCAGCCAAAGCAACACGATCCTGGGTGAAATAAGTGAGTCAAGGCAGCTGGGCATGCAACCTTCAGCTTTGAGGGTAAGCTCTGTGGGGCAGGAACCCCGATTTGGCGTTTGTACAGCATCCAGCACAGCGAGCCCATAACGAGCCATAGACACTACAGTGAGACCAATATAGACTAATAATTGGCTTGTGCATGACCCCCACATTTTTACTGAGTTCAGTTTTTCCACATTTAATCACAGGGCTGTAATTCAGCCTCCTAAGCCAGTTGTGTGTGAAGCTAATAAATTAACTGACGTAATCACTTGGTACCGGGCCTGGCATGGGAATCCCACTAATGAGCCTCAGGCATGTGCTGAGGCGGTACCTGGGAGACTGGCGCAAGAAGGAAATGATGGTAACAGCGAAGCACCACTCCCCGCCATGTTTCTGGGTGAGTGTTCGCAGTGGAGCCTTTGCTAAATGCTCACCAGAAAGAATATGAAGAGAACGCGACAGTTTCAGGGCTCAGCACGTAAATGCTGGGAAATGGTAATGGCAGACCTGCAGGGATCACCTTAACTCTGCCCCTGTGTGTATGTGCCTAATGGCACGATCGCTCTCAATTTTTCACACACACGAACACCACAATTTTACCTCGCACTTTTCAGCCATGGATCGCAAAGGAGGTCAGAATCATTGCCCCCATGTTTCAGCTGGGGAAACTGAGGCACAGAGGTGCCTTGCCTAAGGCCATTTAGCAGCAGCGCTGGGACTCAAATTTAGCTCCGAGTCCCAGCACACTAGACGCTCGGCCACAAGACCTCTCTGCAATGTAATGTATCATTTCTTCTGGGGTGGCAGCCTTCTGCACGTCCCCAGTAGGCCCTGGCTATTAACCAACACGCACGCACGTGTTTGTCTTTCGTCTGCACAGTGGCCTATGCATGGGAATGTGCACAATGAGGCTCTCCAGTGGGAGGCAGATGCAAAATCATGTAAAAACTTTTTTGGACGTGACTTTTTGCTGCCGTTTGTGATGCCACAGACTGGGGCCTAAGGGTCATCCTGGCACTTGGCTGGGGTGACCCGCATAATTTATTGAATTGAACGAAAAGAGCCCAAGCGTAGGCCAGATACACCCGTTATGCATCCTTCCTCCTACAGACGCCTGGGCAGGGAGGGCAGACGCGTCTTTATTGCTACGTAGCTAGGACCACTCATGGGGATGGCTCGTGAGCAACTCTCTCCAAAGAGGTGGCAATACAAATGTTTATAATGCATCCCATCACCCCGGAGTGTGTTTTCTTCCACTGTGGGTTGCTCCTCTTTTTCAATGAGAAGCCCTTGGCCTTTTCCATGCTGAAGCATGTTCGTTGTGGTGATCTCAGTATTTTATACCTGGCATTTACAGTCGGGCCAGTGATGACTCTCCAAGTGCTGTGTAAAGGTGACTGAGAGGAGGCTCTGGCTCTTGGGAGGAAGACCAGCCTTGTGGCCAAGACATGGGCTGGGAAGCTCTGTTACCACACAGACAACTTGCTTAACCCCTGAGTTTCCCCAGCTTCTTGTGCAAACGTGTCTCCCAGGAGTGTTGTGAAGCTTAGTTCAAGGGCTGGAAAGCACGCCGAGCTCTTCAGGAAAGAGGAGCCCACTGGTACCATGACACACTGCGGGAACTGTAAGAGTCCGTGGCAGTTCTCTTGTGCAAGATGGGATTACACAGGCCTTGCTCCTCAAAAGGTGCCCCATGGAAATCTTTGGGCGTGAGGTGCCTAAATCTCTTTGACAACTTGGGTCCTAATTCCCATTGCCTTTCAGTGCCTACCTGCCATGTGCACCGTTGAAAATCTCTCCCTAAAAATACAACAGGAATCAAGTAGAGAATAAAGGCCCAACAGTGATCAAGTAGAGAATAAAGTCCCAGTGACAGACTGCAGTGGAGTGGGAATGCTGTAATACGCAGAAATCAGATTTGACACCATTGAAAACTAGACACATTCGCCATGTAATATTTTATTTCGGGCGCGAGGGCTCTCTCAGCAGTTAGACAGATTATTGATTCCTATGTTAGGCTGGCAAAAAATGCACTTTTCCATCGGGTTCAAGGTGCGTGTGCAAAAATCCATCCATGGCCACCCACCTCCACCAGGCAAACCCCTTGGGGAAGCGACCCTGCATTGTGACCTACAGACAATGCGGGAGATTTCCTACAGCACAGCTGGGTTGAGATGCCCAACCCCCATTGACTTGCAGTCAGAGTTGGGTGCCTTACCCTGAAAGCCCATTAATTACATCAGTGTGAGAGGAGAACCGAGCCCTAGCAAACTCTCCCCCAGAAGCACGCCACACACATTGGGCAGGAGGGGTGACAGCACCCCCCAGGCCTTGTTACCTAAGATGCATATAACCCACACATGCCTACTCCACAGTGTTTGCCTGGATACACAGATACAAAGGTCAGAAGGGACCATTATGATCATCTAGTCTGACCTCCTGCACAACACAGGCCACAGAATCTCACCCACCCACTCCTGCGATAAACCTCTCACCTATGTCTGAGCTATTGAAGTCCTCAAATCATGGTTTAAAGACTTCAAGGAGCAGAGACTCCTCCAGCAAGTGACTCGTGCCCCATGCTACAGAGGAAGGCAAGCTCTTTGCCTGATCCAGTCTGGACCCGCCAGAGATGCTCATGGGCCTGTCCTGCATTCTGAAGAAAATGAAACCTTTACCGTTGCCCAATCTCTCCTCTGCCCTTGTGGTTTCACTTGGCAGCTGCCTGATGTGACTGGAGCCCTGGGAGAGGTGGATACCAGGCTCTTCCCTGCCCTTCCTCTAGGCTGTGATGTGGATAGAGATGTAACAGGAGCATGAAATAGACTAGGTCCATGATCCCCCATCAGAGAAGGCTGCAGCCCTTGCTGGCTTATAACACTCTCTGTCTTTTCCAGTGACGTTTATACTGAAGGGGTGATCTACCTGGGAGCCCAGGGGTATGCATATGCTACAAGACTGGTGTTTAATGCTGCTGGGAACCAGGCAGAGCTGGACCCGAGAGATCCAGAAGGGAATGTGCAGAGAGAAACCGAGCTGCTGCCGTGGTCTTAGCGAACAACAGACTCCATGCCGGCAGCTCCCGGTTCAGAGTGTCTGGGTGTACGTGTGTGAATTTCTCTACATTTCTTGTGATTATACACGGCCACGTGTAGCAAAGCAGGAGCATCAGACAAATGCGATGCCTCCACCTCCCCTCTGGGAGTGCGATGCCGGGTTCTTGACTCACAGGGCAGAGACCGTCCCAGCTGTGACCAGAGAAAGCAGGAGATTCAGTCTGCGCTGTTGCGGCTGGTGCTGAACGGCAACATGGTGCTGTCAGAGCTATTCGGTGAGGGGTAGGACTTCAACTTTCTGACCTGCAGCACCATTGTCCAGTACCAGAGGAAGATGAGGAAGCCTGCAAGAGAAGGGAGAAATGGGTGAGCGCTCACTGGGCAGGGGCAATGCAGAGAGCAGGACAATGGGTCACCTGACTGCAGGGGGAGGCTGGCCCCCTGCCTGAGCATCCTATCACTCCTGCCCTTTAACTATACGGCAGAAGAACTGAGCTAGCGGGGTCTCGGATCCATCACTGTACCAACGTAGCAGAGCACTGTCTCGAACCTTAGCTGGTGGCACCCTCGTGTGGCCACTGGGTGCTATCGCACAGAAAATCCCAGGGCCCTGCAGGAGAGATCCCTACACACAGCGAGGCACGCTCTAGTACGGAGGGGAGCCTCTCCCCCATGGTGAGGAATAGGGCACAGGGTTGTGTCAGAGCCTCATCAGCTGCTCCTCAGAGAGACTCCAGACGCCTGCGCCATTTACCCCCGAAACTCGGGGTGACGGCACGTCGCCGGGAGAGGGCGAGATGGGGAGAGTGCGCCCGGCCCTGCGCGCTCACCTTGCAAAGTGTTGATGATGGTGAAGAGGTAGATGACGACGAGCTGGAACGATCCCGAGGAAAAGGAGAAGAACGCCAGTGCCCAGGGGATGCCCAGCACGAGGCTCAGCCCCAGGAGCACCAGGGTGTGCTTAAGCTTGTGGCCTCTCTTCCTCTGCCTGCGGATCTCCCACACCATGGCTCCCAGCATCACCAAGTTGAAGAGGAACACCAGGTTGAAGATGCCCAGGTTGACTATGTTATGGATCAGGGGGGCTGTGATCCAGCATCTGGAGGGAGGAGAAAGGCAGATAGTTCAGGTCCATAATCCTCTAGGTTAAAAGGGGCTGAAGGTCTGATCGGAGAGCTCGGGGGGACCCACTGGCACATTCGGCCTCCAGCCCAGAGTTAAACATGGAGGCCGGTCTCCCAGCTGATGTAAAGCTGTATAGCTCCACTGAAATCACGAGGGCTTTGCTGATTTATGCCAGCTGGGGATCTGGATGGACTGAGTGGCGGGAGGAAGAAAAGGTTTCGGGAAAACCCCAGCAGAGGGGATGTAATCTGTTGGTATGATCCAGGGTCCACGCTGTGTGAAACTGACTCATGGGAGGAGGCATGGCTAGCCATGGTATAACCAGAACATGGTGACGCCATTCCAATTACTCACATGGTTGCATTGGTGGATTTCTCAAGGGATTCAAATACTTCAATGTGGAATGGTCCATAATTTGTCTGATCCGCCAGGAAGATCACACCCACGATAAAGATGGGAAGCCCTGGATGCAGAGAACAGCATTAGGTAGTTTCCCTCGCCCCAATTCCTCTCTTTGCAGGTCCCTGAAAAAGGAGCTCATCCTTTCTACTCCTAAGGAATTGACCATGTTGTTCTCCCATACCCTTTGTCACCCTAGCGGTGGACTGAGGACAGTGCATTGAACAGGGATGGCTGGGTACAGCTTTGGGTCCTCATGTCCACACTGCTCATAGGTTCATTGGTGTTGAGGCCAGAAGGGACCACTGTGATCATCTATGACAGGTTTCAGAGTAGCAGCCATGTTAGTCTGTATCTGCAAAAAGAACAGGAGGACTTATGGCACCTTAGAGACCAACAAATTTATCTGAGCATAAGCCTTCGTGAGCTACAACTCACTTCATCGGATGCATAGAATGGAACTCCCAGTCTCGATTCAAATCCAAGTTAATGGTATCTAGGGTGGCAATTTTGCAACAGAAAAGCTTCAAAAACAGACTCCAGTGAGAAACTGCTGAGCTTGAATTAATAGGCAAACTAGATACCATTAACTTGGGTGTGAAGAGAGCCTGGAAGTGTCTGGGTCATGATTATCATGCACATTGTGTAGAGAGTTGTCACTTTGGATGGGCTATTACCAGCAGGAGAGTGAGTTTGTGTGTGGGGGGGTGGAGGGTGAGAAAACCTGGATTTGTGCTGGAAATGGCCCAACTTGATGATCACTTTAGATAAGCTATTACCAGCAGGACAGTGGGGTGGGAGGAGGTATTGTTTTATGATCTCTGTGTGTATATAAAGTCTGCTGCAGTTTCCACGGTATGCATCCGATGAAGTGAGCTGTAGCTCACGAAAGCTCATGCTCAAATAAATTGGTTAGTCTCTAAGGTGCCACAAGTACTCCTTTTCTTTTTGCGAATACAGACTAACACGGCTGTTACTCTGAAACCTGTCATATTGAATCTATTTCCCCATGTTAAGTATCCTCTCACCTTCTTGTCAACTGTCTAAATGGGCCATCCTGATTATCACTACAAAAGTTTTTTTCTCCTGCTGATAATAGCTCATCTTAACTAATTAGCCTCTCACAGTTTGTATGGTAACTTCCAACTTATCTGTATGTGTGTTGTGACGGGGCAAGGCCAGATGGCTATAGAAAAGTAGTGGGAGATAGATATATTAGCTCCAGGCTAAACAAATCCCTGAGCTGCTCCAGGTCAATTAAGACACCTGGGGCCAATTAAGAACTTTCCAGAAGGCAGGGAGAAGGCTAGGTTGATTGGGACATCTGAAGCCAATCAGGGGCTGGCTGAAACTAGTTAAAAGCCTCCCAGCCAGTCAGGTGGGTGTGCATGTCAGGAGCTGTGGGAGGAAGCTGCGCTGTTGGAGAGGCTGAGCAGTACACACCATATCAGGCACAAGGAAGGAGGCCCTGAGGTAAGGGTGAAGTGGAGTTTGAGGAAGTGAGGGCTGCTGTGGGGAAGGAGCCCAGGGAATTGTACATGCCATGTTTCTAAAAGCTACCATAGCTGATACTATTAGGGTCCCTGGGCTGGAGCCCGGAGTAGAGGGTGGGCCTGGGCTCCCCCCCCCACCCACACCTTTGCCCCCTGATTAATCACTGAGACTGGGAGACAACAGAGACTGTGCAAGGAAGGATAACTTCTCCTCACCTCCCTTGCTGGCTTATGATGAAAATGGCGCAGTAGACTGTGACCCTTGTCTCTAGAGAAAGAAGGGTTACGTGGAGGGTCACAGTGAGCCTCTGAGGCTAGCGAAATCCGCCAGGAAACGCGGGACCCACAGAGGCAAGGACAGAGCTTTGTCACAGTGTGTATGTATGTGTGTGTATATCAATCTCTTACTATGTGTTGCATTCTATGCATCCGATGAAGTGAGCTGTAGATGACGAAAGCTTATGCTCTAATAAATTTGTTAGTCTCTAAGGTGCCACAAGTCCTCCTGTTCTTTTTGAGATCATCTAGTGTGACTTGCTGCACAGCACAGGCCAGAGACGTTCACCCAGTGCCTCCTGCCCATAACTGGTGTTTGAGTGACCGTGTATTTTTTACGGAGACAGCCAGTCTTGACTTAAAAGCGTTAGTGATGGAGATACCATTGCCGCCCATGCTTTAGGCACAATTCTGAACAGTGAGGGGACTGATCTCTACCCTGAATTTCTCTACCTTTAGTTTCCAGACATTGGTTCGTCTTACGCCTTTGCCTGCTAGATTAAACAGCCTCTGCCCTCAGAAATCTCTTCCACGTGTCGGTACTTATGGACGGTGAGCAAATCATCCTCTTATCCTTGTGAGAGGAAAGTCTTCTAGGGGCGCAGAGGCCTGGAGTTCTCAGGGCCATCTGGGCCTCCTTTCATACTCACCCCAGCCCACCGCGCAGAGCTTGAGAATGAAGTGCTCCACATAGGTGTTGAAGACCTCCACCACCAGCCTGTAGAGATTGTAGCCCTCAATGCCCATCCAGGTCAGGCAGCACAGCAGAGATAGGTGCAGGAACATGCCGCCGGCTTTGCAGGCTGCCTCGCTGCCGATGGAGGCCAAGTGCTCAGTGATGAGGAAGCTCACATCCAGCAGGAAGATGGCCCCCAGCAGGTTCATGTGAATGTAGACGTTTATGGTGCCGTCTCTGTGCTTCCTCCTGGGAAAGGGAGAGGAAGAGATTTCACTCCTGATCGTGTCTGGGAGTCCCAGACCCAGCATCCACAAAAGCCCACGATGGGGTCCCAGTGCTTTGATTCAAGCAGTTCACGCTAACCAGAGACACACAAGAGATCTGTGTCTTAACAACAGGAGATCGTGAGCCCAGTGCCTATTCCACATGGCCATAGCCAGCTGATGGCTGAGATGGGTGAACTTACTGAGCCACCGGTAACTGCAACAGGTGAGCGATCCTGGTCCCCTTGTTCCACTGGGAAGCTACATCTCATCTGGCCTTTGAACCATGTGTGTAGGCGACAGGTTTGGCCATTGCATACAGCCTAATTTCTCAAAGGAAGCCTCTTGTAGTCTGCGTCAGCCCCTTGTTAACACACTGCTAAAGATCTGTGCATGCCCATGCTCGCTGCATTAGTGCTAAAGACCAAGATGGCGGTCAAGATTATTAAAAATGATAGGTGGTTCTGGGGGCCCATCTGGAGACCTTATAAAGGGGTCTGGTTTCTAGGGGGGGAGAGGGGGGTGCTCAGCACTTCCTGAATATCAGGCCCCTTTCAGGTGTCTCATGGTGGACCCTCAAAATCACAAGTCCCTTTAGAAAAATCTTGGCCAATCTGTATGTAATGGCAGCCAAGGGGGATGCTGCTTGCATGGGGAAGCAAACTGGTCAGCATGAGCACGAGTTACAGGCTGCTAGCTAATCCCCTGCCCCGAACCATAGTACTGTACCTGGAGCAGCAGAAGAGGATGATGGTGAAGAGGGAAGCCACAGCTGAGATAATGCAGCCAATGTAGGTGATAATCGTCAGGTACTTCTTGTGGATGTAATCTATGCCCGGAGAGGACATCTGAGAATGGAGAGGACAGGGGAGGTGTTAGAGCCACGCTGGGCAAGAGCTGAGAGCTTTACCCATCACCACAGAGACCATGCAGTGAGGATGCAGAGAGCTCGAGTGGGAGCTGGTACCCACCATCAGCACAGCAAAATAGGTGAGGTGGTTGCAACGGCAGACCGTCTGGTTATTACCCGTCTCTGTTTCACAGCCATCACTTTTCCAGCTGCCGTGGCCATCTGCAAAGAGAAAAGCAGTGTTTCCTGTTGTGGGTGGGACTGTCACACACTCAGCCCAAGTCAATGTTCACAGAAAGTCTTTGACCCACGGTGTCTGCAAGCAGGTGAGAGAATGAGAGAGTGCTTTGCAATGGGGCCCAGTGACTTCCTTACAGACCACATGGCAGCACTGCTATACTGGGGACTCCTAGCACCCGAAATCACCCCGACCCATATCTGCGTGGGGAGCAGAGACTGGGACAGATTCTTTGGGATATCCGTGGGGGAACTGCCTGAGATCTAGCCATGCATAGAGATCTAGGGGCTGTATCCCTGGCATTAGAGGACTGGCAGGATTTACAGATGAGGGGAGGCGGTCAAAGCAAGCTCCATTGAGGCTGAAAAGGAGAAGTCACAGGGAGCTGGGATGAGTGACACAGATTGGAGAAGGACAGAGTGAAAACTGATCATCTTCCACTGATGGAAAAGGGATGGATGTGTATCCAGCCACTGACCATGCGCTGGGCCATGGTCCATGGTAAACGGGAGTCTTTTCATCCACTCCAGTGGGAGCTGGACGTGGCCAAGAGTTTGTCTCTACAAGAGTTAAAATATCAAGGACAATCCAGTCCCATATGTCAGGTTGTAAAGTGATTGATGCTCAGTCCCTTCCTTGGGCAGCTAGGCTAGGGGTCTGGTTCCCACCTGCCCCGCACCTTGAGTCCTCACACCTGTGCAAAGCCAGCATAAAGGTGCTGTCAAATTGGGAGGGTAGCACTGCACTCCCCCACTGCACAGGTGTAAGTGACCTGGGGGAGACCCAGGGCCCTGCAAAACAGCCTGCTCTCTCTGAGATACTCACGGCTGGAGTCCACGTCCCAGAACACGCACCGTGGAGTCACGTTCCTCTGAAAGGACAAGAACATGGGTGGTGATGCAGGACCCTCTCTGGGTTATTCACGGGGCAGGCAAGTTTGGCTGAGGGGCAGATCAAGGGAAAGATGGGGCAGGAGGAGAAAAGAAACTCTGGCCCTTGTCATGTGACTGGAGCCAAGAAACAAAGATCATTCTCTCCCCAGCACTCCAGGGCGTCACCTCCTTTTTCAACAGGGAGGCTGCTCCCAGCAACAGGGAAAGATCAAGGACACCGGTTGTGTCGCCTGGAAGTGGCTAGTTGTCCTGAGTTACGTTTTTTGGAAGGGCATCCCCTAGAGAGGATGGGGCGACAGAGACGAGGCAGAAGCTGAGCTGGCAGAAGTCCCAGCTTCCGCCCCCTCCTCCCCAGTCTGGACAGACTGATTTGAATGAGGCCGTTTCTCACACCTACCGGTAGCTGGTCATGAAAGAATTTGAGGACCACGTCCTGGGGGAGGCCTGATACGGGGGTGTTCCCCACAGTGATGCCAATCACCTTTTCACCGAGCACCCTGCTGCCGTTCTGGTCCTGAAAGAGATGGAAAGACCGTGATGCCAGCGTGGGAGAGTGACAGCTGCCGGACACCACGCTGCTATAAAACCCCTGGAGATCTCCGAGCCAGAGAGCTTCCTTGTCACCTTCCTCAGCAGACAATACAAACCCAAAGAGGGTCTGCGCACACAAGCGACAGGAGCCGCCGCAGCCTTTCCTCAGGTTGTGCCTTGTCGCTGTCACAGTCCTCTGCGGGAGGGCATCAGGGCACCAGGTGGCCTCCTATGTACCGTGGCAAAGGCCAGATCACAACCGCCAATGGTCCAGCTGCTCCGGTGTCTTGACGCTGAGAGGAGCTGCAGTCCGATACTTCAGGGGAAGGTGCCACCTTCCATACTGCCCCTAGCTGTACAATACCCTGCCGGGGGGAGGGGGCATTTCTTCCGGAGCCCAGCCAGGGACTGGTTTGAGCTGCAGTCACTAGGCACAAAGGGAGATCGCAACGGGCAGAGCTTTGGCAGGAACCTGAATTTTGGGACCCTCCTAGCACTGTCCCGGTGCGTGTCTATGATGGGTCCGCAGCGTTTCCCAGCGGGGGGTGTGGGGGAGAGGGGACTGTGAGTACGCTGGCCTGGCTCCTCTGGAAATGGGAGCTTGGCTAAAGGCACCCAGCAAAAATAACCTCTGGGGTCTCATCCTACTCAACCTGTTCACACAGGACACTGGGCCACCGGGTACAGTTCAGATAGGCAGCATCAGCTCAGGGGAGCCTCTGGGCTGGGAGAGCAGGGGGTGCTGAGAGTCGCGGAGGGGCACTGGCAGGGCTAGCATAGCAGGGGGTGCTGAGAGTCGGGGCAGGGGCATTGGCAGGGCTGGGCATGGGGTCAGGGCTGGCATAGCAGGGGGTGCTGAGAGTCGGGGGGAGGGGCATTGGCAGGGCAGGGGGCCAGAGCTGGCATAGCAGGGGGTGCTGTGAGTTGGGGTGGAGGGTGATGGGCTGGGCATGGGCTCAGGTCTGGCATAGTAGGGGGTGCTGTGAGTCGGGGGAGAGGGGCACTGGCAGGGCTGGCATAGTAGGGGGTGCTGTGAGTTGGGGGAGAGGGGCACTGGCAGGTCTGGCATAGTAGGGGGTGCTGTGAGTCGGGGGGAGGGGCATTGGCAGGGCTGGCACAGCAGGGGGTGCTGTGAGTCGGGGGGCAGGGGCATTGGCAGGGCAGGGGGCCAGGCTGGCATAGCAGGGGGTGCTGTGGGTCGGGGGGAGGGGCATTGGCAGGGCAGGGGGCCAGGGCTGGCAAAGCAGCGGGTGCTGTGGGTCAGGGGTCAGAGCTGTATACCAGCCCAAACTTGGCTGAGCAGGAGGTTGCACGGCAGGCCAGGTTTCACGATGTTTGGCAGACCGAGGGAGCAGGGCAGGACTGGCAGCGGGGATGCTCTCAAGCGGCCCTGGCAGAGTTGTGGGCAGCACGTATCCTCGGCATTCGTAGCAGCTGCTCCCAACCAAACTTGGCCCAGCGCTGCCCAGCACTATTAGCCCCTCGCTTACTACACCCGCGCACCAAATTCATTCCCATCCCTGAGCCTGGTCATTACCTGGAAAAGGGCCTGGCTGTTGATATCCATCAGGAGCACTCGACTCCCAGTGTTCTTCTTCCTGCCCTTCGCCTGTGCAAAGAGGATCCTCGGCAGATTCACCGCAAACCCATGGACCTCTCTGCCCACCTGCAAAACAAAGCCCAGTAGAGCCCTCAAAGAGTGGCCGGAGGATGCGGCGAGTTCGGGGAGGACGCTAGGGAAAGCCTCGGGCTCTGGCTACACACGCACCAGAATATCCACTGGGGTAAATCGGCATCAACAGAGCTAGGCTGATTTACCCCAGCTGAGGATCTGACTGCCGTCTAGCCCAGGCCAGGGACCCATATGCATCACTGCTCTGGTTTCTAGTTTGGACAGCACCGGGCTGGGTATTAAAGGGACGCCAGCAACTCAAGTTAAGAACGTTTCTATTCCAGTAGTTTTGCCGGGTTGGCTGCTCCCTCTCTTCAGCAGCAGCACTGAGATGAAGCCTTACCCCCTCGATGCTCCTCCCTGGGCTCGAAAGGCGGGGTCCTCTACCTACCCTTCCTCCCGCTGTTCCCCAGCCTCATGCCAGAAGGGCGGAGCCGGGCTCCCCATGCAGGAGTCTCAAGGAAAGGAGGTTCCCTCCTGGCTGCCCTCACAAGGGCGCGAGCCTGCCAGCGAGCTCTCCTGGGGAGTGAGGGCAGGGGGCTCCTCTGATCACCCTCAGGAGATGGGAAGTGCGACTAGTCAGAGCCTGGGACTCCACCAAGTGCTGACTAAGGCACCAAGGGAAGAAAGTGAAACCAGAGCGACAAGGAGATTTCCCTTGCAATCGGTACAAAGAACAGAAGTCTGATTTTTTCGGGGTGAGGGCATCCCTTTAACTACACGCTGTAACCAGACACGTCCCAGGTTACCCTGGTTATGGGAAGGAGTCAGGTCCCCTCTACGTTGCAAACCGTAATGCTGCAAAGACCAACCCAGGACCATGACCTGAAAAGATTCCACGGAGAACAAGGCACAACCTGGAAACATGCCAAGTGCATCAAGAGGTTCTGCAAACGCTCTGGTTGGTCTGGGGTCCCTGCTCTAGGCCCTGCAGGTCATTTCAATCTGTCACCGGAGGGCTGGGCCATTAAGAGGAGCAGGACCCAGCCTGTGACTGATCAGCTCGGGATGAGGCGATTACAGAAGCCAGCAGGCAGGCCAGCTGGGTATGGAGCCATCAGGAAGAGCTGCAAGCAGCAGATCGACTCCTGTGGGAAGCCCAGAAGCAGGGCATGACTTTCAGGTAAGAGACCCGTAGGGAACAGACACCCCCTGGATTTGGGGGAAGGGATGGCTGGCATGGAACCTGTACTGTCTGTTCTTATGTAAAATAAAGCTCAAGCCCTTCGGGGCTTCAGCTGGTCAGTGGCAGGCATCAGGGAGGGAGGGTTCCCCTTGCCACCAGGTCATTTTTTTTGTCTGCTTCCTCTGAAGCCTCAGGGATGGAGGTGGGACATTGAATGGGGGTGGCCGGTGAGCTGAGGTGATCCTGAGCGTCCTCTCTCTCGGGTGCTGGGCTGGCTGGTTCTTGCTCACATGCTCAGGGTCTAACTGATCACTGCCATACGGGGCTTTGAGGAGGAACTGTCCCCCAGCTCAGATGGGCAGTGACCTGGAGAGTTTTTCACCTTCCTCTGCAGCATGGGGCGCAGGTCGCTTGCCAGGATCATTTGAAGGTCTCTCTCTTCATCATTTCCCCACTGTCCCCAGGCATTCGTGCACCTTGGTCCCTGCTGTTCTCTGCCTGTCGCACACAATAGGCTAGTCTCCTTTAGGCTGTAATACTTGGGTCTTGTTCCAGTTGTTGGGTTTAGTGTGTAGGTGTTGGTGGCCTATACTGTACAGGAGGTCAGACTAGATGATCTGGTGGTCCCTTCTGGCCTTGAACTTTATTGTCATGACTTTGTGACTATGGGAAAAAGAGCCTGGACCCCTGGCACACCTGCACTCACCTCCAGTTCAGACACGAAGGGCAGATCCTGAGAGGCTTTGCTGGGTCCTATCTTCAAAACAGTTGCACGCACCATACTCGTCCCAAAAGTCTCGCTCTCCCCTTCAAACACCACCTGTTCCAGGTCCGATTCCAAATGCAAAAGTCTCCTTTTGGGGAAGAAGGAACAGAGCATGGAACTAGAGAGGGTAGGAGGGAAGAGAGCCTCAAAGCAGGGGCTGTACCATCAGCAAGTGACAGAAGGAGAGTTTTGAGGACCCACTGCTGCGATTGGGAGGCCCTACATCTGACCCACCTCTCCCGAAAACCATAGCTCCCCAGACGGATCCTCGGGTATGTGAGGCTGTACAGACAGTGATGGCAAGCACCTGATCTGGGAGAGGAGGAGATGGACATAGTTTATATACTGTACTCACTCATATGGTGCTCTGGCATTGGTCTGTCTTCCAGTGGGTTTATTGGGATTCTTCATGAAGTTTGCTAAATTCCTTAATTGTTCTTCAATTGCATGCACCTTGCTGATGTCTTCAGCAGTCGATGTGGAAAGAAAAGAGAATGCGGTGATTAATTCGGTGAAGAGGGGACAATGCTGGTTTCTGCAGCATCCCTCCCCCCGTCAGCGAGTGCTTTATACGGTGTTCTTAGGCAACTGTATTACTAATTGATTGGCAATCATGGGTCTGATGAGGACTGGTCTGAATTCAATGGAGCCACTCCTGATTTACATCAGCATGAGTGAGTGGCAAGCCAAACGCGGAGTGTTTGCAATGGCTATGCCTGGGTAGGTCTGAATGGCCAAGCAGAGCACGGGTACGACTTAAAGCATTTGGGGCCAGACTTTCAAAGTTATTAAGCACCTCAGCGGATTCTCAAAAGCCCCTCTCGGCATCTTCTGGTGCCTAAATACCTTTACAAACCTGGCCTTTTGAGCCGAGTCGCAGGGGCTAGCCATGCAAAAGGAAGAATTCACATGAGCCTCTTGCATCCACCAGGACTCATGAGAGGGGAGACAGCCCATGGTGGTGCATTTCTTGCCTATCTCATTCCTCTGGACTTCAGTTGCACAGGAGATGGGCTTGCTGAAGTTTGCAGAGGGCTCCTGAACAGCCAACTGGCTGCACCAAATTGTAAGGAATGGGCTAGCTGAGGGTAATAGCAGGTAATGGATACTTTGACAATAGCTTTGCCCCATTGTCTGGCAGGCCATTAGGTTACAGCAGCTCCAGCATAGGAATGACATGAGTTTGCACCTATCTGCACAGGCCGAGAACCTCAAGGTGCAATCTCGAGCATGTATGCTCCTGCTCTCCCGCCTCTTACTCTGTATGTCTCTAACCAGAATGCAGCTGAGGTCACTCCAGTACCCATGTGCAGCCATGGACACTGCAGGTCCTAGCACCCAGAGCTCCATCTTGATCTCAGTGGTCTCCAACCGTGCAGATGTTCTACAGGATGGAGTGTTGCTGGTATCATGATGGATCCCTATAAGGCCCCCCATACAGCTGTGACCTGAGGACCCCGGCACTGCTGAAGGCAGCACAACTGACCATTAAAGGTGGGACACTGTGACTAGATGAGGGATTATCCGGTGAAATGCAGGACCTTTGCAGCTACGTCTTCAAAAGTGGTCACTTATTTTGTGTGCTTACGCAGAGAAACTTTGGGCTGGATTTCCAGAGGTGCTGAGAACCCACAACTCCGGTTCTCGTCAGTGGGAGAGGTGGGATTTCGACACCGTGGGGAAATCGGCCCCAGAGCGCTGCATGTGGGTGCCCAAAAAACGAGGAACACAAAACTAGTGGCCGTTTTTGAAAAACGATGGAATTAGCGACTGGTGGAGAAGCCAACTGCCCTGCTCTACCTCCTAACGGTGCCTCAGCGGTTTCCCCAGAACCTTCCCATCCACGGGTGGGCAGACAGAGCCAGCCCCGCTTAGCTTCCAAGACTGAACATGCTCAGAGGCTGCAAGCTCTCTAACCCATTCAACATGTTGATTCAACTGTACCACGGATGGAGAAGTAGTAAACAGCAGCGCTGCTGAGGGAGGTGTTCCGCAGGCCTTTGCCGTAGGCGTAGGACACGTTGGAAAGCACAGGGACCCCACTTTTATTCTGCGGTGCGCTTGGGTTTGAAAAGTCGAAGGAAGGGTTCGCCTCGGCACTCAGTGTGTAGTTGTTTCTGCCGTACGTGAGGTTGAAAATCCTGTCCCTTTGGTACCAGTAGAGGCAGAAGCGGTAGTTCCCCAAGTTGTCCGGTAACATGTAGTTGACAAGGTTTGGGAATGGCGCAGCTATTTGCAGCGTCTCAGCACTGTTCTCGATGGTGATGATGTTCTCTGGCCGCATCTGATAAATGATACGGCTTTTCTTCGTTTGCCTTCTTTCGCCACAGAATCGGAAATCTTCGGCATGGCGGCTGCTTCCGTTGACCCCTGCGTTACACAAAACCCGCCCGGTAAGGTGTAGCTCAGCCTGAGGGGCTCCGTACGCCAGGAGTTCCCCAGGTTACTCATCCCCGTTGGTGACCCCACACAACACAGCTGTCTACTATTTATTACATGGATCACAGGAAGGCTCAGGGGCTCCATTGTGATAGGTGCTGCATGTCTACAAGAGACAGAGAGAGCTCCTCCTCTGAAAATCTTGGGAGCCATGTAAGAACCCATTAACATAGAGACTGAGTGCCTCCCAGTCTTTCCTGTCGTCAGCCACACACTCCCCTGTGAGGCAGGGCAGGCCTGTTATCCCCATGGTATGGATGGGGAAGTGAGGCCCAGAGAGACTAAGTGACTGCCCATGGTCACCCAGGGAGGTGGTTGCAGAGCAAGCATGTGAACCCAGCTCTCCTGAGGCTCAGGCCCGGCCCATCCTTCCTCTGAATGGACTCTAACTTCACCCGGGTGAGCTGATCAGACAAGAGGAACATAGACGATAATAACGCATTCTCCATGTCCATCCAGTCTTGTTCCTGCCCTGATTCATCTACATGCCTCTAGCCTGTCCTGGAAGGAGAGGGGAATTCCATCTTGGAACACAATGACGGTCTCTCTGTCTTTCAGGAAACTTAATTACAGGGAAAGTCCCTCTGTACCTCCTGCCCCCACCTCACTCCACCCATACTGGCATGACTGCTTCCTCCTAACAGGTACTATCCTGGCACTGGTGGTGGGGAGAAGGTTGATAATGCTACATCCCTGCCACCTCGGCTGTTGTAAGCCATATAGACCAGTGTAGAGGTGAGGAAATAACCAGGGAGCATATTACCTTGCAACAGGAGAAGCAGAGCCAGAAGGAGGCGATCCATCGTGGGCGGCTTTCCCAGCTCTTGATGTTCCTCAGTGATAGACTTTGACCCTGAGGGACAGAAGCACACAATGGCAGAGTGAGTTTGTCTAGAGAACTGCAGGAATTTTTCACAGCTCAGGGCCTGGAACAGACTGAAAAGCCTGCAGTTCTTTCTGCATCAGCATGGGCTGAGTTGAGCTACCGCGCTAGGTGTGGGATACCTGAAAATGCCAGGAATTGTGTTCTTGTGAGTACCAGAGAGAAGAAAAAATGGTAGCTCTATCCATGCAAGAAGGCTAGACACAACTGTTCTATTGTCATCTGCCATTCGGGCAGTGGCGGGCAACCCGTGGCCCATCAGGTTAATCCGCTGGCGGGCTGCAAGACAGTTTATTTACATCGACTGTCCGCAGGCATGGCCGCCCACAGCTCCCAGTGGCCATGGTTCACCATTCCTGGCCAATGGGCGCTGCGGCAAGCAGTGCGGGCCACAGGTTGCCCACCACTGCACTAGGGGGAGTGATGGATTGCTATAGCCAAGTGAAATTTTATGGGGCCAGTGGAAGAGTTTCATAGAGGGAGGGAAATGAAAGAGATGCTGATCCTTGGAGGAGGCTGGATTAGCCCTGTGATTCGCTGCTCTCCCATTCCCTCCCAGGAATCCAAAGCAGGGAGCTTTTAAAATAACTATTAAACAAAATTCCTCTGCCTGTTTCATTTAAAATATTGCCCAGTGTTGGGGTGTATAAACCCCACACAGGCTCACAAAGGGTTAAGGGGATCCGGAGATCCTAATTAGCCCACCTAGTTGCACCTGGAGGGTCTGTCAGGCTCAATTCAGGATCAGACCCAGCTGGGAAGGAGCTGGATGGTTTCTATACAGGAAGGAGTTCAGAGCCGTAGAAGGTGATGATTCTGCATCCTCTTCTCCTGAGGAGAAGGCCCAGGGGAGACAGAGGGTGGAAATTTTCTCCTGCATGGAGAGGCTGAAGAAGTATCCATAAGGGAAAGAAGAGAGGAACAAGCTGAAGGAGCCAAGATTAGCATCTGCGGTGGGTTCCTAGGGAGCGAGACACGACACGGGAGAAATGGCCCTGTGGGTTGGTGCCCTGAAAATAGGATGGAGGACAAAGGGGAATCAGAATAGATCGTGGAATCTCAAACCCGTAGCAGCAGGAGCAAGCTGGTGGTGGTTTTGTTTGAGGTTACTTGGTGAAGAGACTGGAACTGAAGTAAGACCCCAGATTTCTTGGTTTGCTACCTGCGTCTTAGTACGGGTGAAGGGCATTATTTAGGACACTGATGAACCAGAAAGGTTGAAGCTCCAGAGGGACCTGGCTGGAGGGTCAAGTACCCTCCCACACAAAATGGGTGACCGCAGCAGAAGGGGCTGCTCTGGGATAGTGTATGATGGCAATGCCATGAGAGGTGCTCCTGCACCGTAAGACTCTTGAATTCCCCTATTTTAAACAGAGTTAATAGTAACAAAACCGAACAGAAGCCAGTGTGATGTCCAGTCACATTTAGATTTATTTTCTCTTGGGTTTTATTTTCTCTCTTTACAGCCTTTGGGAATGGCCCATGACACCCCTCTGCTGCTGTAAGTCGGAGCACCGCTGAAAGCAGTGGAACTATGCTGATTTACCCCAGCTGAAGATCTGGCCCTATGTGATCAGCCACTTTGGGTTCAGTGACACCAACTGTATTAAGGGAGGAAAAAGTGAGAGACTCGGTGCATCACCACCAGCACAGCCGATGCAGAGGACACGGAGAGCGAGGGAATATTTCTGCTGCACTTAGGCAATGCTCCATTTGTTAGTGCTAATAGGAAGTGCTGGATTGAGAGCCCTGGGGGGGTCTAGTCCTCAGTTTATTGCAGAACAGGTGCCTCGTTGCTGAATCAACAGGACTACCCCACGGGCAAGGGGGGTAGCGTGGTCCCCAGCGTCCAGTCAACCCTTGTCATCTCTTCTGAAAAGTCTGCCAGTCCGGTACCAAACCCCCTGGAACTGTGCTAGGTCTGCCCAATTCATTTCACATTGGCCACCAAGTGGACACCAGCTGGTAACAACTGCTGACCCCGACTGACCTGGGCTGCATTGCGAATCGGTGACCAAGGGCTTGATTCTCATTTATACACCACCCTGGCAATCACGTTACATCTACACCAACACCAGCTTTAAGGACCCATTAAACAACGAGAGTGGGGTAAAGGGGCTGAGGCCTGGTCTACAGGAGAATATTCTCCTTGTAATAACCTTGCGCAGTGGTGTGGGGGGTTTTTTTATGCCAGCAAAAGCACTTAGTATAAGTGCAGCTACACCAGCAAAAAATTCTTCTTGCTTATTTCACCTGGGGAACTGGGATAAGCTATACAGACAGAACGAGCCTTTTGCCAGTATGTCTTATGAGTTCAAACGTGACCCTTTTTAGTAGAGAGAAGATCTGAGTGCAAATGAAAATCAGGGTACTAGAGATTAGATGGTCTAGGTATCTCAATGCTGAGCCCATCAATCCCTCTGAACTAAACTGAAGTCATGGGGCCTGATTCTTCCCAGACCAGTGTACGTGAGGCGTAACTCTTTTGAAGTCAATGGAGACGCCGAAGTAAAACTGGTAACACCATAAGTTTTGGTGGAGTTAGTCCTGATCTACACTGGTGTGAGGAAGAGAAGAATCAGTACCATGGAATTTGTCTTTGTGAGACAAGGGTGAGGTTATCGCTGTTGGCTTTCCATAGAGAGAATAAATACAGGCCGGATCTTCAGTATCATGTTTTTGGCTTAATCCCATTTTATCAATGACCTGGAAATAAATATAAAATCCCTGCTGATTAAAATTTGCAGATGATGGAAAAATTGGTGAAGAGGTTAAAAAAAAATTATGAGAACAGGGCAGTCATACGTAGCAATCTAGATTGCTTGGTAGGCTGGGCCAATTCAAACAGAATGTACTTTATACAACCAAATGCAAGGTCCTCCATCTGGGAACAAAGCATAGAGGCCATACCTATGGAACTGTACCGACATGAGCTCCTGGCGCAATGCTGTGGCTATAGGGGCTAATGCAGGCCTTGGGTATATGAACAAGAGGTGAGGTAGATACTGGAATACTGTGTACAGTTCTGGGGGCAACATTTTAAACAGGATGTTGGAAAAAAGTGGAGGGGTCACAAAAAAGAGAGGGCTGGAGAAAATGCCTAGGAGAGGCTTGGAGTCCAGTCTAGTCATCTTCTCAACAAGAAGACCGAGAGGTGACTCAATTACGGTGTCTAAGTACCTTCATGAAGACAATATACTGAGTAATAAAGGGCTCTCTTAGCTAGCAGAGAAAGGCAGAGCAAGAACCAATGGCTGCCTGGAGGTTAAAGCCAAACTAATTCAAATTAGAAGTAAAGTGCATGTCTTTACAGTGAGGGTGATTAACCACTGGAATAAACCACCCATGGAAGTGGTGAATTTGCCATTTCTTGATGTTTTCAAGTCCGGACTAGCTGCCTTTCTGGAAGATGTGCTTTAGCCAATCACAAGTTGCTGGGCTTGATACAGGGGTAGCTCAGAGAAATTATCTGACCTGTGCTAGACAGGAAGTCACACTAGCTGATGTAATGGTCCCTTCTGGATTTAACCTCTAGGAATCTTGAGAATTCAGTGTGCACATGGGTCAGCATCCGCTGTCTGCCCATGCAAGCCCAGCAGGCAGGGGGCCCATCACCTGTAACCCTCCCTCATGTCCCTCCTAGGATTTATAGTAGCAGTAGAAACAAATCATCATGTTGCAATATCCATACTCTAGCTCAGTGGTTCTCAACCTTCTTGGGTTCAGGACCCATTTATAAGCCTGCAGTGACTCAGTGCCCTCTTCCTTCCCCCACACCCGGGGCAGACGGGGCTGGGATGTGGTGGGAGAACAGCTGGGGACCAGGAGGGGTGGTTTGGCTGTGGGGGAGTGGTACATTGGGAGGTCCTGCAGGCTGGGGGTACACTGGAGTGCAAGCATTTATCAGAGAATGTGACACCAGCCACTCCCACCCAGCTCTTGGCCCCCAGGGCTGCCTGGGCTCAGCTCTCCGCTCTGGGTGTTGTGACCTCTGGGGTCTCAGTGCTGCTCAGGTTTGGCCTGGCGGGGCCATAATTGTGTAAGTGGAGTTGTGACCTGGTGCCTGGGGTTGCAGCACCACTCACTCCAATTTGGCCCAGCTGTCCCAGTGTCGTCATGTTGGAGGGGTGGCTGGGGCAAACTGGAGTGGCACCGAGACCCCATGCACCAGGTCACTATGTCCAGAGTGGGGAATTGAGCCCAGCCAGCCCCACAAACTTTTGATACATTCTAGCGACCCAATCTTGGGTCGTGCCTCACAGGGTGAGAAACCCTGCTCTAGTTCAACCCCTACTTCTACAGCCAGCATATCTGCCCCAGCTGTTTTTCTATAACCATTTTACAGCATTACATCTGATTCCTGGCTCGCTCCTCATTTTCCTTCCTCCCGTTTTGATTCGCGGTGCTGTTGAAATTATAACGAGGTGAAATCAAGCAGAAGGAAAGAACAGAATGTTCTGACAGCTGTTCAGGGACATGTGCAAAAAGAGCTACTGGTCTGGATCCAGCTCTTAAAGGACAGGTGTCCCCATCCCAAAACCCAGTGCTACAACTGACAGTAACTGCCCCTCTCGGCAGGTTAGCCCACAGTTTTCCAATAGCGGGTTTTTGGCACCTTTCTCTGAAGTAAGTGGGACTGGCCGTTGTCAGAGGAGAAGTCTACCATGAAATCAAAGCAGCGATGGCAGCTCCAGCAGATACACGCACGCTATCATGGCTACAAACGGAAGACTAGAACCGTGGGTTTCAGCAACGTGAGTAGAAAACCAGGGTCCCCGGTGTGCTTGTCCAGCCCACGCTGCTGCATCTACATTGCTGTTTTTAGCCATGCTAGCGTGCATATGAGAGTCTGTCTGGAGGAGCTGCATTCACACCTCATATTGCAGGATAGACATACCCAGAGACAGGATATTGGACTGGCTTCTCCACTGGTCTGCTCTTAGGTTCCTTGTTGAATCACTGATCTGATCCAGTGCGGTGATTCCCATTCTCCCATAAGTGGTGTTCCCGTGGAGGCTCTCTCAGCAGCGAAGCCGTGGAGACTGGTGGGAGAGCGCGAGGGAAGCTCGCTACTGCCCTCCTTGTGCCTGTTCTGTGGCTACAAGGGAGGACTCCAGTCTCAAGGGTTGTCAACCCAGCACCTTCACAGCACTAAAGCAACTAACCAAACTTTCCAGCAGGACTAGCTGACCAATCACTTGTGAGTGCAGAGGGAGTCTGTTTGCCCTTTCGAGGGTTGTGATTTCTTCCTCCACCCTACTGCTTCTCCAGTGCTGGAGGATTTCACAGCGAGTTCTTTGCCCTTGTATATCAGCCTTTCCCACGCTACTGCTCTCAGATAATAAAACCAGCCAACACAGGCTCATTTATGTTCTAACACACTGAAACATGCAACACTGTGGGTGTGTCACCCACAAGGGGGTGAGTGCGGGGGGGAGGCGGGAGAGAGAAAGAGAACAGTGAGAAGCAGGACGTCAGAGGAGAAACATACCACACACCAACTCAGCTGGGTGTGCGGGCCGGGGTTCGTGGCCCCCTCAAAGGAAGTGACAGCTTTTGTTCATTATTTATATTGCCGTAGTCCTAACAGGCCCACTCAGGAATCCGGGCCCTGCTGTGCCAGGTACTGTACTTGCATGTACAGAGACAGGCCCTGCCCACGGTACTAGCTTGTCTGCACAATCTCTCTGGCCACATTCCATTTTCTGCTTTCAGAATTGAATAGTCTGGTCAAAACTCTCCCCACCCCCACCCCTCAAATGTCAGCTCATGCCTTCCCCCCCTCCTGCCTGCACGGGAAAGTTGGGGTGTCTTTGTTACCTGCTCCTTTCCCAGGATACCAGGCCACACTTCCATGGTTACACCTTTCCAGGTGCAGCTGCAGAAC